TCTCTTGAATGAAAAGTCATTTTCGAATAATTTTTTGATGAAAGTAAGAAAGAAGTAGGTATACGCTAAGTATACGCAGTATAACTTATAGGCACGTTATTTTCACTCTCGCATCCTACATATTTTCTATTCGTGGCGGAGTAGTAATTATACAGGGTGTTTCGAAATTCGACCGACAACGCTTCACAGGAGGTAGCTCTCGTGATTTGGTGAATAATGAGGTAGGAACATAAGGGTCCCACGTGATTAGTTATCGAGTTACAGGGTGTTGAAGTTGGGAAATAAAAATAATTTATTCGCAATAACTCAAAAACGGCTGATCTTTTTTCATTCAAACTCGAAAAGTGAATCAATATTGAGGAACTTCAATTCCAGACAAAAAATTCATAATCAACAATTCATCCAGTGGCGCCGTTAAGGGATATGATTCATTGATTTTGCAAAAAAAAATGTGTTGTGATATGAATTTTCGAAATTTCATGTGGTATTATTGAAGGCCATTTAATTTTGATTGAAAAAGGCTCACTTGATTGAACTCGATAGAACCCACCATTTCCGAGAAAAAACGAAAAATGTGATTAGTCCTCAAATTTTTTTACTCAAAATCGTTCAACATGAAACAACAAAAATATCAACCCAAAATTATAGTAACTGTTCGAAGTTCTGGCCATTGACTTGTTGACACATTGTGCAACGTCTGCTCATCGCAAAACGCATCCAAGGAAATAGTTTATGCTTAGTTATAAGTTCCGTTGCAGCCTCGTTTCCTGCTACGAATTCCTTTTCAGTTTCAACGTTTCAACGATGATGTCTTATAACTAGGATTTTTTTATTTATCCAACAAAAAATCTATCGGATTCAGATCAGGTGACCTAGGGGGCCATACTTTGGACTTCAAGTATGGTACATGTCCAATCCATTTTCTCCAAAATGGTCACTTAGTAACGCTCTTGCACCTCTGTCAAAATAGGCACCGGCATCATCATGTTGAAACCACATGTTCCTGCTGATATTTAGCGGAACATTTTCCAATGGTTCTGGAAGAACTTTTTGTAGGATCTCCTGTAGATTGATCCATTTATTGCATTAGGTAGAATGTATGAACTAACCAGGTAATTTTCAGAATACCAGCAGACAAATTGATTGAAAATTTGGTCTAGATCCAGAAGGAAAATTTGATCTAGATCTAGATGGAAAATTTCATGTCAGTTCTTTTTATTTTATATGTGACTGTTTCCATTGAAAATTCCTGCCGTGGTGAATTTCTGAATTTTGCTTCATCGGTGTATGATACTCAGGGAAACTAGCGAGTCCACCACACATTTAGCTGAAGCAATTCTAATATTTTATTCTCACATAATAGTCTTCCAATGCCTGTACTCTTGTGAAATTTTTTACCACTGACATCACATGATCCTTAAACTCCTCATTTTAGGATCGCATTTCTCCTTCTAGTAGTCATTTTCACAATTATAGGGAAACACTTGATCAATATTTATTTATTCATTCATTTTGATAGATGTCAAAAGTTGTCTCAAATTAAACTGAGTTTTATTTGCAAAGATCATAAAGACATAACATTTCGTTTCAAATTCTTGGATTTTTCTACTGGTTATGGATTTTACCAACGAAGAAATGACTGATATGTTATTATTATATGGAGAAGCGAGAAGAAACGGTAGAATGGCATTACGTCTATACGAAGAAAGATTTCCTAATCGTAGAGTACCTCACCATTCTACTTTTGCCAGCATAGAAAGGAGAATTCGTGAAACAGGCAGATTAAGTGTCCGAAGAAATAATGCAGGAAGGCGTAGAACCACAAGAACAGTTAGATTAGAGGAAGAAATATTGAACGAGGTTTCGGAGAGGCCATCGTTGAGTACCAGAACCATAGGTCGAGCATTGAATGTGAGCAATTCCATTGTGTGGAGAGTACTGCGAGAACAAATGCTACAGCCATATAAACTCACCAGAGTACAAGCATTGGAACCGAGAGACTATCCCACGAGAGTGGAATTTTGCAATTGGTTCAACGAAATGTGTCGTGAAGACGTAAATTTCCCTGAGTATGTTCTATACACTGACGAAGCGAAATTCACCAGAGAAGGAATTTTCAATACAAGGAACATTCACGTATGGAATGACGTGAATCCACACGAAATTCGTCAACGTGGGTTCCAGACCAAATTTTCCATCAATTTGTGGGCCGGTATTGTCGGAAATTGTCTGATTGGTCCATATATTTTACCCAATAAATTAAATGGATCAATTTACAGACGTTTCCTACAAGAAGTTCTTCCAGAATTGTTGGAAAATGTGCCGCGGGTCATCAGAAGGAACATGTGGTTCCAACATGATGGTGCGCCTGCACATTTTGACAGAAGTGCAAGAGCTTTACTCAGTGAAAGATTTGGTGACCAATGGATTGGACGTGGTGGTCCTCACGTATGGCCCCCTAGGTCACCAGATCTGAATCCGATCGATTTTTTTCTTTGGGGTCATATGAAATCCTTAGTGTACGACACCATTGTAGAAACTGAGGAGGAACTTATTGCAAGAATACAGGCTGCAACGGAAATCATAAATACTAACTGTGAGATATTTTCAAATACGCGTTTTGCGATGAGAAGACGTTGCACAATGTGTCAACAAGTCAATGGCCAGAACTTCGAACAGTTACTATAATTTTGGGTTGATATTTTTGTTATTTCATGTTGAACGATTTTGAGTAAAAAAATTTGAAGACTAATCACATTTTTCGTTTTTTCTCGGAAATCGTGGGTTCTATCGAGTTCAATCAAGTGAGCCTTTTTCAATCAAAATTAAATGGCCTTCAATAATACCACATGAAATTTCGAAAATTCATATCACAACACATTTTTTTTTGCAAAATCAATGAATCATATCCCTTAACGGCGCCACTGGATGAATTGTTGATTATGAATTTTTTGTCTGGAATTGAAGTTCCTCAATATTGATTCACTTTTCGAGTTTGAATGAAAAAAGATCAGCCGTTTTTGAGTTATTGCGAATAAATTATTTTTATTTCCCAACTTCAACACCCTGTAACTCGATAACTAATCACGTGGGACCCTTATGTTCCTACCTCATTATTCACCAAATCACGAGAGCTACCTCCTGTGAAGCGTTGTCGGTCGAATTTCGAAACACCCTGTATAAACTAATGTCTTTCGCCATATTGAATTTTCTAATTTTGACGAAACAATCATAATCTCCTACCCCGAAATCCCCCATAGATACCAATTTGGCATAGACTCGGATCTTCATTACAAAACTCGTCCACCATATATTGGATCCGTCATTGATTATTCCAATTTTGACGAAATAATCATAATCTCCGACCCCGGAAATTCCCAGATACCAATTTTGATTTTTTGAATAGAATCTGATCATAATTACAAGTTTCGTCGTCATATCATAAAGTTCGACCCCAAAAACCCTGACGAAACAATCATCATCTCCAACCCCGTAAAACCCCACATACCTTCCAATTTTGAATAGAATCGGATCATAATTACAAAATCGTTCGCTATATGATCTTCCCCAACAAGATTTTCTGTAGCGCCCATGGATGAGACGTGACAGCAATGTCAGGGATGCCAGTAGACAAAACTAAAATCTCTAGATTATTAAAAAAGAATGCAGCTATGATCTGTCCGTACCCTGTTAAGATGACTTTAATGTCAATTTCCATCAAGGGACCCTAGGTTTATACATATCATTAGTACCTACCTACGAATTTATTACCTATTTTGTGGAATTATTTGGAACAGAGCGGGCCAAAATATCATGCAATTCATGAGGGTATGTGGTTAATAAGGATTAATATTGATATAGATTATTATAATAATAAATATGTGTCAAAATATTTTTCAGTAAGTTATGAAATGTTTTAGTAGATCATCAGTAGATCAATATGCAAATCAGGAGATCTACTGAAAATGCAGTAGAACCGGCAACCCTGCAGCGGAAAAAAAGTGTTGACGGAAGAAAAGTTTGTGTCTGCGGAGGAAAAGTACTTGCCTTCGGAAAAAGACGGTTTTTCGTTCGGAAACAAGAGCGAAAAATTTGATTTTTTGTAGAAGTCAACGGAAAATATATTTTTCCTCCGATTGACAGCAAATATTAATTTTGCTGACACATATCGATCAGCAAAGTATTACTTTTCCTGCCTAGGCAGCAAAGTGGTTACTTTGCTGATTGATATGTATCAGCAAAATCAAAAATCCATAAATCGTTTAAAATTGCCTTCATATTCCATCCGAGACTTCTCCGGCAACAGATTCAACTCTATATTTTTTGCTACCTCCCTTACTAATGGAGGTGTAAGTATACTTCCAGGTCGCTATCACTGTCCATTATATAATAATTTGAATATACCGATATTTTTTCGCACAACTGTCAGAAATTTCATGAATCGTCAAACCAAGAACTGCGATTTATATCAAATTTTATTTTAAATGAACACTATACAGGAAGAATAAAGAGATTGTGAAAATTGTATCAATTCGCAAATACAATATTCTCCCATATCATTATGAACAATCGGAGAAAAAATTATATGTTCAACTCGGCAGAAAAGTAGATTGCTACGCTCGGCTATGAATTCAGCCACGGCAGTCAATCTACTACTTTGCTGCCTAGTTAAACATATAACTATTTTTCGATATAAGGCAATAATTAGGTAAACTTGCCTCCAACTAAATTTGAAAATCTGATCTCAAAAGATTCAAAATGGAACAGTACTGATCGCTTCATGTGCACTTCTCTGTACCTATATGATGATTGCAACAACACTTTATTTTTGAATATATAGTGTGTGTTCCTTTCTTGTTTATCTTAAGTATCAAGAGTATCGAAGATAATAGGTTCAGGTAATCTCTAGTCTCTACACACTCCGATCGAAACGAAGATTAGACAAATCAAACAAGCAAATATTGATTCAGCTATCAGGATTCTCATTAAATTGAATTCACCTTTTCAGACTTCAGATTCTCAAGATTCTCTCTCACTTCCTTCAATTTCAGAGTAGCTTCTTGACAAGCATTTTTTTCATCCACTACGTCTTTGATACTTTTTATGAATTTTGCAGAGACTTCTTTGTGAATTTGAGATAGAGCCGAATAAGCAGAACGCTCGTTTTCTAATTTTTGTGATATATCAGTTAGATGCATCTTGAGTTCGTTCAGGTCACTCTTGGTTTTTTCTTGGATTTCTTCGCTGTTTCTACGAAATTATTAAATCGGATGGCTAATGAATAGTATGATAATTTATATTCGGATGTGAGAACAATGTGACGAAGAAAAGGTTGCACAACAAACGGAAGGAGATACAAATTCGGTTAAATGGAAAAAATGCGAATTCAGAAGGTCCTATCAACGACCTTCGAAAATTTTCAAAATAGATTTAACGTGGTGATATTTATTTCCTTACCTACGGCCACTATAGAAAGTAGGCAAGAACACACGAGATACAGCCTCAGTAAGTAGCTCTTTAGGCACAGTAAGCACATCGCACAGTTTTCGATTATTCCGCCAGTCATGATTGCGTATAATCGCCATCAACAGCGGATGACATATCTGTCAAGAATCATAGTTCAGACTGTTTGTCCAAACTTTTTCAATGTTCAATATGGCAGTAGGTAGAATATAGTACGTAATGCGTGTTGTAAAGCAATTACGCTTTCGGTGCTCCGCGGCTACGTGCGTGACTTTTCCAATCGTGCGTAATATGCTTCTTACAACACATGTTACGTAATATACTATTACGCAACGTTTCGGATTCGTGAAACCATTTTCAACTTTTTTTTATTTCGAATACAGTCCTGATTATGTGTTCAACCATATATCATACAAGGTGGTTTGAATGTGTTTCGATCTTGTTTTCGCCATTATGAATGATTTTTCGAAATTCCAAAGAGGAAATACCATCAGTTCCACTTATTTCTGATCATTCACTGTCAAACAATGATGAAGTAGTTATTTGATACTGAGAAGTGAAACAAAATATTTCATATAAATATTTCAATGCAGCTCTTCCGAGATTGTTTCATGTTAATGAATTGTTACACGAATCACCAAATAATAACATCTTTGACAAAACGGACAGTGAGTACATTATTCCAGATTTTTTTGGGATTTTCTCTCCTTGTCTCAATGAAATAAAAATATGGATACTATTTCAATATACGTGTAGTTAGGACGAATCAGATGATTTGCTCCAGAATATCAATGTGATTAAAGAATTTTCCAATCAGAGAGCCTAAAAGAGAAATTCAATAGCTTGTCAGTGACAGTTTGTATATTATAAAGGTTTGGAGAAGAGAAATAAAGGTATATAGAAAAAATATCAAATGCTAACTCATCTTTGGACGTTTCGGGAACAAATCTGCTCCCGTTTTCTACATGAAAAATGGATTTTTCGTATGGTGAATTCGTATTTGTTCTGACATTTTTCAGTTCTCAGTGACAATTGGTGACGTTGGCAATCAAATATGTTAGTTACAGGATGTTTTCATTGATTGATCAGATTTCAGTAGCGAATACCATGCTATATCTATATCAACTGAACAGGTAGCAATGCTATTGTCTCCTTTCAGAAGAATGCAAGCAGATTCCTTGATTCTTCCCTTCTGGTTATCTTCGTTTTCAATGATTTTAATGTTAGGTATTACATTGAAATATTATTCATATTTTTATTTGGAATAATGAATGTACCACCTCCTCGATCAACCTACATACAGTTTTGAACAGTTGGTAATTGGAAAAAATTAACAATCATAACAAATGTTCGGAATAATAACTTTTATTTTCTAAACAAATATATCCTCTTCTTATAGTTGCTTCTGAGACATTTCTAAGCATTTCTGGGGTAATACTATTGAATGTTTTGATAACACTGTCCCTTAGTTCTTCTTAGTTACCAAAATGATTTGCATAAACAAAGTTTTCAACGTTCCCCAAGAAAAATCCAGCGGTGTCCAATCAGGTGATCGCGTCGGCCAAAGGACTGTAGAATAAGTTTAGTTATCAAGGTAATCTGTGTAGGAATCCATTAACATGAGAAAATTTGAAGCGCTGCATTGAATAATTGATGGAATTTATTTTTTCACTTTCCAGTATTATTGTTTAACACTGAATGATGAGATATAAGTGGAACTGATGGTATTTCCTCTTTGGAATTTCGAAAAAAAAAACATTGAAGATGGCTGAAACACATTCAAACCACCTTGTGAAATACATGGTTGGTTTCAGAATGAGAAAGCTCTCAGAATCTGTGAACACATAATCAGGACCGACAGATAAAAAGGATTTCTAAATTCATTGCGGAACAGGCAGCATTGATTCAACCATGAAATGTCCCCTTTCTTTGATGAAAGAGAAATGATGATAAAGTCAATTTTACGTTGTGGGATGTGATGATTAACTCAAATTGAATACGAACAATTAAATTATTATTACAAATATAAATATACAATGCTTGACCGAACCAAGAACTTTACAAATAGTATTTGATGAAATAGAGATGAAAAGAAGAGGAAAAGAATCTTAAGATAGCAAGATGAAAAAGTATACGAATGATTTGATGAATCTATAACTAATTTCATTCACAAAATCGGACCGATAAATACATGTAAATGTTCCAACATAATACCAATCAAGGTAATCAAGTTCTTTCCAAACACAGTTTCACGAATAAACTTCTCCTCGAATGGTTTTGATCCAAGATTCAACACAAATAATGGCAACAATCTTACCAAGTGAGTAGATCTTCGTTGAGTCAAACCTTGCTCCCACTATATGAACTGTTAAGTATTGAACTGGTATTAATGATCCTTGTATTCCTTTGGTATATTGGTTATATCAGCATACTATAGGTACTTCAAGTACTATATTTGAATTACTCTCACTAATTCTGTGGTTATAATCAGCGTATAGGTTTCTATTCCAAAACCAAGACCACGTCTTACTAAAATATAATTTTAAGTTAAATTTTGTTGTTGTTTCATCAAAAGTCTTTCAATTATCAAGCCATTCAACTCACCGTGGTCGTATTATAATCTCGTTCCAAATGAATCACCTAAATCAAATTTTGAGTAATTTATTTGACACAATTATGACAAATGCCGTATTTTCTTGTTGACCAAGTGCCAAGGAGACATTATACCGAGTACAATTCCATGAGAGTCAATTCTTATCAGTTCACGAGTCTAGAATACGTTCAAATTCGGTATGTTTCATCGTCCCACCAATTTATTGTATAAAATGAATTTCATTTTTATCCAATAAATTATACATTTCATCGTTTTTGGCATTTATAGATTTCTATCATTAATGCATTACTATTAACTCTATTTGGAACATACCCAATATTTGTATCACTATGTTGATACTGGTTGTAATTTGGCAAAACATTTGGATTTGATTGTGATGAAAAAAAATGATTATTGAGATATGGAAAACTATTCGGTGGTTGATACGTGTTATTGAAATTAACTTGAGGTTGTTGAGTCATTAGATGTGGCAAAACAGTATGCGATTGAACATGAAAAGAAGGTATATTGTTACTAATTTGAGGATATTGTGTAGTTGCTCTTGTATCATTTTGTGATGGGAGAAACAGCCCATCACCTCTAGAAAACCCTCTATTTTCATTTTGATTGACCTGAATGTTCCTTCGTGGAATTGCACCTGTTTCCCTATCATTATTTACTCGAGTAGTTACATTCATTAAATTCAATGGTGTTGTTTGATCTCTTACTTCTGGTGATGAATTTTGATTAACATTCAATTGTGGGCACAAAGGAGACCCACTGACTATAGGAACACTATTTCTTCTAGCTGCATATTGTATACCTGATCTTGTGGACATTATGTTTGATGATTGTTTTTAATTTGAGTTATTCTCGAACCATCTAGTTGGGCGCCAATGAAATGTCCCCTTTCTTTGATGAAAGAGAAATGATGATAAAGTCAATTTTACGTTGTGGGATGTGATGATTAACTCAAATTGAATACGAACAATTAAATTATTATTACAAATATAAATATACAATGCTTGACCGAACCAAGAACTTTACAAATAGTATTTGATGAAATAGAGATGAAAAGAAGAGGAAAAGAATCTTAAGATAGCAAGATGAAAAAGTATACGAATGATTTGATGAATCTATAACTAATTTCATTCACAAAATCGGACCGATAAATACATGTAAATGTTCCAACATAATACCAATCAAGGTAATCAAGTTCTTTCCAAACACAGTTTCACGAATAAACTTCTCCTCGAATGGTTTTGATCCAAGATTCAACACAAATAATGGCAACAATCTTACCAAGTGAGTAGATCTTCGTTGAGTCAAACCTTGCTCCCACTATATGAACTGTTAAGTATTGAACTGGTATTAATGATCCTTGTATTCCTTTGGTATATTGGTTATATCAGCATACTATAGGTACTTCAAGTACTATATTTGAATTACTCTCACTAATTCTGTGGTTATAATCAGCGTATAGGTTTCTATTCCAAAACCAAGACCACGTCTTACTAAAATATAATTTTAAGTTAAATTTTGTTGTTGTTTCATCAAAAGTCTTTCAATTATCAAGCCATTCAACTCACCGTGGTCGTATTATAATCTCGTTCCAAATGAATCACCTAAATCAAATTTTGAGTAATTTATTTGACACAATTATGACAAATGCCGTATTTTCTTGTTGACCAAGTGCCAAGGAGACATTATACCGAGTACAATTCCATGAGAGTCAATTCTTATCAGTTCACGAGTCTAGAATACGTTCAAATTCGGTATGTTTCAACCATATATGGCGTTTTTGAATATGTCCAACCAAATATTTGTTTGATTTTTCTACAGAACCCATTCATTGATAGATAGATAGATTTTATTGATCACGTTACATACAATGTGTATATTTGTAACATGTCAACTAAAATTAGATGAAATAGATTTTCATATGTATAAATGTGACACTTAGAAATACAGATTAAAAGCAAAAGAAAAATACATGTATATATAAAATAGAATAATAAATCACAATTACTAAAAAGCTGAAATCATAGCTGTCACTCTAGCACTAGGTCAGAAAGAGGGTTTGACAGGTGCTCTTCAACTGAATAGTAGCTGGTCTCAATCAACATCATCTTCAACTTTTCTTTGGAATTGCATAAATGGCAATTGCCTGCATTGTTCTGGTAATTGAATATATTAACATTCACTAAAAGAAAATCTTGATTGGAATGGATATTTCCTCATTATCACAGTACGTATTGGTCGAAGAACGAATTAATTAGTTTGAAACAAGGAAATTCTTCTATTGTCAAGTCAATCTCCCATCATATTTGAACAATTTTGTTCTTGAATCAAGGAATTTCCAGCTTCTAACAAAGAAACAACAGAGGCAATGACGAATGGCATGGCGGCTACCGACTGAGGAGTCGAATGGGCGCAAGCGTACTGCCGTATATACGTCACTGCAAGTCTTCGAGAAGGAGAGATTTTCATGAACCAATATAAATTGGAATTTATGTCACTCGTAGTCGCGGTTTCCTTGAATGAAGCAATATACTGTTTATGTTGAGCAGATTCATATCACGAAATTTCAAGAAACGAAGCAAGCAAGCAAGCAGATTGATTTGAGACAAGTGTATATTTCTCCATTCAAATCCAAAATTCATGTACGAAGCAATTTAATTTCATGAAAATGGATTTGTTTAATCGAAATCCTTCTTCTCTGTGATTTGGACAAATACGAAACGTCACGTACAGAAATCAATACCATTACGATAAATACTATCGAAAACTGCTATGGGAAAATGTATTTGGTTGTTTTGTATCTCTTATAAAATAGAAATATATTTCCCAATATTTCACTTTGTTCAATGTAACTGAAAAACTATTACCATTTTTGAAAATTTCCGAAGGCTGCTGGTATAATCCTCCGAATGCGCAACTTTTTTCACTATAAAACCGAATTCGTATTTCCTCACGTTCCCGAGATCCCCATGCTGAGGAACCTCATCTTGGTCACATTGTATAATAAACCTCAGTAGCACACGATCTTGGCTAGACATTGGGCTCCATATTGGTCAATATTTAGCAGATGTTGGGCCAATATGAAGCCAATATCCTGCCAAGATTAGTCTTGCTAGGGTTGGGCAGAATGAAGATTACTTTCCGAACCTCAATGAATCATCCATATGTTTTTTGTAGAATTGATACTCTTGCTCTTTCTCTTCCATGACAGAATTCAATTGCCTGTATAGTTTTTCAAGCTCTCGTTGAGTATTGATCAACTCTGCTTTGATGTTATCGTAGTCAGCTTTTATGTCAATCAGTTCATTTTCCAGTTTTTCCTTTTTGTTTCTCATTTCTCTAGTATCCCTGGAAAACATATGGAAAAAATCACACACAACTCCTACGGAATAATATACAATTTTTCTTACGATTTCTGATTTTCCAAACATTTGATGACTTCGATATGTTGTTTTTCTCTTTGTCTCAAACTAGTATATTCGTAAGTAACTTTTTGAAGTTCATCTTGCTTAACGGCTAACGCCTGTTATGAAAGAAATTTCTAAGCTATGATTTATATCTCAGAATAAACAAAATTGAAAATTGTCGTAGGTAATATCCCGAGACAATGACAAATAGCCGACTATTATTTTCGTCATAATTCTATCGAGAGTACCTTGTATTTTGACAATTTGATGAGACCATATGAACATTAATAATCTAAATAACTCCCGAGAGCTTTAGCTTGATACATAAATAATTATTTCAAGCATTTACTTTACATACCCCTGAAATGTGTTCCAAGTCTCGATTACTTTTCATTATCATGGCCTTTGATTCATCTAGCTCCTTTTTCAATAGATCTTCTTTTTCCATTGATGATTTTATATTTGTTTCGAAATCTGAAATTTCCCTAATCATTTGCAGTGCATGCTTCAAGGATTCCGTGATGCAGTATAACAAACCTGACAATATTTTCTCTGAAAGTGCATTAACTCTCTCTACTTCTTTTGCTAGTTTTTCTTTTTCTTCACTCATCGTCTCGATTGTTCTCTGTTGACGATCTCGTACTGCTTCGATAGAATTTTTTTCCAATATAGATTTATTCAAGAGGTCTTTGGTTTCCTGAAAAGTGAAATGTGAATTTCATGATAGTATACTAAAAATATAATATTTTATATGCCATCACCTTCACGTCTTTTCTCGATTCATTCAATTCTCTGTATAATTTCTGTATATTATTTTGTAAATACTGAATACTTTTCTGACGCTCCTCGGTTTCTTCTCGTAACTGAAATTGATAGTGATAAGTAGGTATTGGAATAACTATTGTCCTAATGTCATTATATTCATACTTGTAAGATAAGCATTTCGAGTTTCTTAACATTGTCACCATATTTTTCAGAGTCTTTTGACAATGTGTCATTCAATTGTTGGACTTTTGTTTTCTCATAATCGTATTTTGTTTGAAGATTTTTCAATTTCTCTTCACTTTCGTGATTTCTCTTGAGGAGTTCATCTATTCTATTCTGTTGATTTGTGAGCGTTGTTCTCTTTTCTTCCAGCTATAAAAAAATATGGATAAAGGATTTTATGCTGTAATTGAAAATATTATTGATTTCACTTCTTTGAGGTTTTCTTCTTTCTCTTTTTGAAGTGTGTCTCGTTGTTTAACAACACTTCTCAGATCTCTAACCAAATCTTTCAATACGTATCTCTCTTTCCTCTGGAATTCTTCGTACATCTTGATCTGAAATATTAATATTCCATATGTTTGGTCTTGGACAACAACACTTGGAAATGATAAAGATAGTAAAGTTCATTTGACGATATTATTATAGGTATATTCACCTGACTACTTGCTGTCTGTGCTATTTTTTTTGTTGAGTTATCCAAATCCGCATTTTTCTGAACTTCAAAAGATAGCACACTGTTGAGCTGATCTTTTATTTGGCAAACCTCTGAGAGTTCATAACACAGTGATAACTTCTCTTTTGTATTCTTGATTTGAATATCATTGAGTTTTTCGACGCTACTTTTCAGCTGCAAAATTGTTTTGTCTTTGGCAACAATTTCTGATTTCAGCTTGTGACCAACTTGCTTATTATATTCAGCTATCATCTGATGGAGGAAAAAAGTATGGGATGATGAACACAAAGATTTTTCATAAAATCTACCGCTAATTTATTTGCTTCTTTGCTGATGTCGGCAACAGTGCCTTCTAGTTTTTGTACTCTTGATATTTCAGTTTTCATATGATGGAAAATGGTTTTCAAAAGATTCTTCTCTTCTAAATACTTTTTTCTTTCATTCTGTAAAGCTGATAAAAGAGCATCAGTTTAATTCTCACACTATATGGTTTTCAGTATTGGATTAGGAGTCAGCAAATTGTTGAGCCTTCGCTTCAGTTATAGTTATCAATCAAACGAGTGCGGATAGTAATACTTTTAGTAATAATAGTAATAGTAATACTTTTCCGCAAGGTACAGGGTATTCCACATAACTTGGGCCACCCCCTTATCTGGTAAACTATTATATATACAGAAAAAAGTTCAGATTGAGAATTGTATAACTTCTCATGAAATTTAATTTTTATATACTGTCATTTATACAGGATGATCCATATGTCTGTGACATATCACAAATACGTTTTTTCAAATGGAACACCCTATATTTCATCATATTTTTAGATAGTCCTTCAGAAGACGAGTTCAATGATGTATAATAAGATGGGTCTGGGATCACCCGTTTCGGATTTATACACGATCTTCTTCAATAAATTGTCTAATTTCAAAGCCCTATAGAAACGTTGTGAATGAAGTTTTCGATTCGCAACTTTTGCTATAAATTAAAAAAGTCTGTATATTATCATGTTCTGTGGTGAAAATTTAGGAATTTTGAATTTGCCAAAAGTGATGACGTATTTTGAAAACCAATAATTATCTCGAGATTTTCAAATGGAACACCCTATATTTTATTCCATATTTGCATAGAACTCAGAAAGACGAGTTCAATGATCTATAATAACATGGGTCTGAGATCACCCGTTTCGGACTTATACACGATCTTCGGTCAAAACTCTCTTCTTTAGAATAAATATGCATTTTGAAAGAGTTTCTCTGCACCAATTCAACAATGAATAGTCGGGTTTGACAGTTATTGATATGACATAAACAAAAATCCCATCTATGAGTGCACAGCCTACTCAGCTCACGTTGGCATGTCATTCCACTTTGAGTTTTGGTTTTCTCTTCGATCATTTACTTATGTCCAGTGTTTTTTCATTGGGAATTCAATGAAAAATGTTGAACAGTATGAAAGATATACGATTTTTATGAGGAAATTACATTTATTGCAATGAATGCATCCGAATTGATAAGACAGACAATCAAAAAAAATGTTCAAATACATGTTATTAATTGAATATTCCCGCATTGGTCTCGTATAGAGTCAAATGTAGGTGAAATTTAATTGTAATAACCTGTGCTCAATCATTTCCAAAATGTTTTCCAGTGAAATATAGTATAACATTACATAAAAATTTCGATAATATTCGTTTATTTCAAAACTCTTTATTACGAATTGTTTCACAGAAATTACAAATTTTTTATCTAATATGAAGATAACAGTCAGAATTTTGCCATTGAAATTTGATTATTTTTTCAAGAAGATCGTGTATAAGTCCGAAACGGGTGATCTCAGACCCATATCATAATATATCATTGAAATCGTCATTCTGGGCTTCATTCAAAGATGGAATGAAATAGGGTGGTGTTCCATCAGAAAATTTGTAAAATATTATCGTTTTTCAAAATACATCATCACTTTTGGCCAATGCAAAATTCATAAACTTTTACCATGGATCAAGAAAACATACAAAATTTGTTAATTTATAGCGGGAACTGCGAATCCAAAACTTCATTCACAACGTTTCTATAGGGCTGTGAAATTGGGCAATTTATTGAAGAAGATCGTGTATAAGTCCGAAACGGGTGATATCAGACACATGTTATGATATATCATTGAACTCGTCTTCCTGAGCTCTATGCAAATTTGGAATGGAATATAGGGTGTTCCATTTGAAAATCTCGAGATATTTATTGGTTTTCAAAATACGTCATCACTTTTGGCAAATTGAAAATTCCTAAATTTTCACCATAAAACAGAATGATATACAGACTTTTTTGATTTATAGTGGAAACTGCGAATCGAAAACTTCATCCGCAACGTTTCTATAGGGCTTCGAAATTTGGCAATTTATTGAAGAAGATCGTGTATAAATCCGAAACGGGTGATCTCAGACCCATGTTATTATACATGGTGTTCCTTAATGATATGCTAATATTTAAGGAGCCGATTCTTCGACCCATTTCAAGAATAAAATTTCATATGAACGTATGTTGTAAATGTCCTAACTTTTGAGATACAGGGTGTCAATGTTGAAAATATGCATAGATTATTTTTTTGTCCACTCTGTATAACTTTTCGTGATGGCAAAATTCAGTCTGCTATGTGACTGAATCGGTATACAAATTTCAAAATGTTACATACTGTGGTTATCCAGTAATGGATGTTCTGAATGGAGTACTCAGACATCAAAATTTGAAGTCTGGTCTCGTTTTTCCGTTTTTTCTCGAAAACGAAGCGTTCTATCGAGTATCAACAGAAGGATCTTTTTTGTACATAATTAAATAGCCTTTCATGACATTGTATAACATTCGAAAATTTTTTGTCGTTGCTCACTTTTAGGTTAAATATAAACAATAATATTCCCGTAACTGTGCCACTGGTAGAGAAAATGAAAATTTTTTGTACATCAGAGAATGCACCTTGATGCATAGAAGACGTGTTCCAAATTTCATGAAGATGTATACAATATTGTCTCAGTTATTATCAAAAACCTGAATATTTTTCAAAACTCCATCACCCTGTATCTCAAAAGTTGAGACTTTCAGGACATACGTTCATATGAAGTTTTCTTCTTGAAATGAGTCAAAAAATCACTCCCTCGAATATTAGCATGTCTTTAAGGAACACCCTGTATATCATTGAACTCGTCTTCTTAAGTACTATCTAAAAATATGATAAAATATAGGGTATTCTATTTGAAAAAACGTATGTGTGATAAGTCACAGACATATGGATCATCCTGTATAAATGAAAAAGAAGTAATACAACTTTTATTCTGAACTTTTTTGTGTATATATAATAGTTTACCAGATAAGGGGGTGGCCCATGTTATGTGGGATACCCTGTACAACGTTGTCCCTACGAGTGGTTTTGTCCATATTATTTATGAAAAGAAATAGTTATTTATTATACAAGGTAAAAAAGTAGTAGATTTCAGCTCCAGGTTGTGTTGTCTCCTGACACGTAGCGGGGGGAGACAAAATACCGTGAGCTAGAATCTAATATTCCTCGAAAATTATTATCGATGTGAGATTTGAAGTTTTTAACAGGAACAGCCCTTGCGTAGCAGGCATCTTTATCATTCTTTTGAAGTAATCAAATATCTGTCAGTCTAATTCTGTGATTTGATTTTGAGAAATTGCGAATTCACTTGTCGTTTAATGATTTACGTATCCGCGAAGTCGGATGAAAGATGAAAAGACTTACAGTTCTTTCTCGACGCATTAATCGAAACGATATGTGATAGACAGGTTGACATAGAAGAAAGTACATTGCATAGTGCCACAAAATAGAGGACACTATAAAATAAGGAAAAAAGTTCCTATGAACATGGGTCCGCAAGGCCTTCGGTTGAAAGATACGGGGTGTTGAATTTTAATGGAAAAATATATTGAGGTACAAGGACAACAATTTGAACATCTTCTGAAAACTTGATGTTTTGTTCTAATTAATCATATTTTTAATCATACCATCAAAATGTAATTATTGAAGTATTTATCATTGTTTTTGCAAAAGTGACTTTGGCGCTTTTTGAATAATTTGCATGCATTGTCGGCTTTTAGATGCATTTGTACTGGAACCATTGCTTTTAGCGACTTGGACAAGGTATTCCTTTCTTAAGAATGAAAGAAGGGATATCAAATTTTTTTCGTCGGAAATGACATACAGTGTATAGCAAGAAAGTTACGACCGATTCAATAGGGATGGAACCCTATGTATGTAGCGCCCTTTTTCAATCATCACAAAACTGAGATCATATTAGAATTTAGCATGATAAAAAACCCCTGTATACCACATTTTATCCATTTCTTGCGTCTTTACCGAAGGCCTTGCGAACCCATGTTCATAAGAACTTTTTTTCTTATTTTAGTATCCTCTATTGTGTGGCACTATGCAATGTACATTTTTCTATGTCACCCTGTATAACTAGGAAAAAAGAACTCACTCTTTTCAAGTAGGAAAAGACTAGTTTATGAGAAGTGACATTTTATAGCCTGTCAACAGAGACAAAATTACTAATTTTTTTCCCGTCACAGGAGAAAAAAAAAAAGGTTTTTTAATAAACAAGATATTTTTTCTGTGACGGGAAAAAAGTTTGGCATTTCATCTCTGTTGGCAGGTTATAAAATGTCACTTTTCATAAATTACTTTTTTCCCGGATATATATCACATACATATACTCTGTTAATGGCTTTTGTTGTGCTATATTTCCGAAAAATGAGTTAATAATACCGTCTCCGAGAAAGAACTGCAAGTCCTTTTATCTTCCATTCGACTTCGCGGTTTCGTATATTACTAAACAACTACTGAATTCGCAATTTTTTAAAATCAAATCACAGAATTGAACTGACAGAAGTGACATCAGATATTTGATAACTTCAAAAGAATGATAAAGATGTCTATAAAACGCAGGTGTCCCTACTTTTAAAATCTTGAAATTTCACGTCGATAATTTTCAGATTTCGAAATAATGTAATATCTTCTCAATATTGATTCGTCCTTCCTTCTGTCACAGAAAAAAATAGTGTATTATACACGGGAAAAATATTAGATTTTAGCTCACGGTTTTTTGTCTCCCTCCGCTACGCGTCGGGAGACAACACAACCTGGAGCTAAAATCTACTACTTTTTTCCCTTGTATAATAAATAACTATATAATAATGCTACAAAATGACACAAAAGTCAAAATAGTTACCTAGATCATTTAGTTAGTCCTAAATATCTTCATTTTCAATAATACTAGCTGAAAGGATACAAAATTTTATCGATTTATCATGCGGAAAAGTAAACATTATACGGAAAAGTAACTTTTCCACCGATGCAAACCGTTTTCCAATCTTGAAATGAACATATTTCTATTTTTCGTGATCTTGCCTCAAATAGCTCGAAATGAGTAAACTAATACCACATTTTTTGTTTCTGGACGGAGATATTGAAAACGTTAACACACCTGAAGGAAGATCGAAGAAGTGAAAATATTATTCAGTATCGTCTTTACCACTCATGCAGTCAGTTTGGTGTGCATCGTCACATTTCCAATATGACCAATCCTTATTATTTTTGGCATTTCGACAATTTGTGGGTGATCACGAACCTGGATTATCCTAATCCACAATTATCTAGGTTTAAGAACTCTTCAGCCTCCAGAGAGTACCCCAAGATTCAGGACTTTGGTATGAGCGATTAGAGGGCTCGTTTTCTGGTCAAGATGTATTCATCTCATTCACGAATTGCATCGCAGAAATTTCGACCCATTACTCATCACAAATGCGCACTCATAGTGCAAATCTATTTTTTTCGTTCCTGAAGTTATCGGAGTGAAACTCGCAGAAATATATAGAGACAGGGTGATTCACGTAGGCCACACAACTTTCAGTTTGATCGAATAATTGAAAATCAATTTGTATGTTTGTATATCTCGCAAACTGTTCAAAATTGAAGCACTTTTGCAGTAGCGGCGTTAGGGTAGGGCGCGGTTGGGCGACCGCCCAGGGCACCGGATGAAAAGGGGCGCCGCAGAAACCCCTATAAATTCATCAAATTTTTCAAATCAACGTCATTAGCGCATCTCACAATCAACAGATATAGATCTCAGTAAATGCACAGAAATGTTGAAAGAATGCTGCACTTTCTCGTAAGAATATAGAAATAATAACTCTGAAATCGCTATTTTAACTGCAGAGGAATTGGCTGAAGAACTAGAAATTGAACCTAAGCTTGGACCTAATCTTAGTGCCACATGGATCATTCGATATGTTGAGCGTAAAAAATTTACGCCAATAGCTTCTATACAGAAAAAAATCAGGTTTAATTTTTCATTCATTTCAGAATGATGAAAGTAAGATATGGTGCGCGTATTCGGCCATTATTACGTATTGAAAATTTCAGAAAAATCACTCGACCGCCTACTATGATTTCTCTACGTCACAACGAGCGAGACGTTGATTCTACATTTTCCTGCTAGATGGTGATGGTGATGGTGCTATTGCTGCTGTGACAAGTGGAAATAAAATAGCAAATGGGATTATTCAACTCTGAATTCGAAAAATCTGCGACAATTTCAAAACTGACAGATGTCACAATTGGGCAATGTCGCCATCTATTAGAAGATCGACGGAACTGCAATGCTCTCGCTGTTCTCGAGAGGCCGAGTCAAATTTCTGAAACAAAAGCGCATCAGTAATTACACCATATCTTAATTTCATCATTCATTTCAGTTAATGAAATATTTGAAGTTAAATGAGTACTACAAATCTTGGTACTTTTGTACAAAATAAAACAAATTTCGAAACAACTGGACCTTTGACAAGGTATATATGGTGTACGTGATAAACTCACCTAATCAGAATTTGGTTACCCCTGCATATGCTTTGAATTTTATGAAAGATCGCAACTAAAAAGAACTTTATCAAAATGTATGATTAGCATTGCGAATATTATTGACTTTATATACCTGTAATGGTTGCTAGTTTTCAGTTTTCCTGAGCCTAATGTGATAAAAACCTATCTGCGATCGACAAAATCTCAATCTAAATTGACAAACTTGACAACTTTGTCAATTGAAAATAAAATTGCTGAAAATATTGACTTTGTTGATCTGATGAAAGAGTTTGCCAATACAAAGGCTAGAAAAGTGAAATATATTAGTTATTAGGGGGCGCCGTAGAATTCATGCCCAGGACGCTGGTAGTGCTAAAACCGGCACTGCACTTTTGTGGGAATGTTAGCTGCGAGTCCAGGCTAACTCCTGATGTTTTTCAGCGACTGGCATGCCTCGCCATTACAGGGGCGATGTCCTCTACTCCAACGGCAGCGATAGAAAACCTCCTAAATCTCACTCCACTCCACATTGTCTTGGAGAGGGACGCCAGGATGGTTTCCTACAGATTCCTGTCACTAGACAATCAAATTAGAGTGAGGCGACTGCTGTACCACTTCGGGATACTGTGTGAAATGAAAAATCACCAAACTCTAGGAATGGTTCCCGACATGTTGGCTACTCAGACACTCGTGAAAAAGTCTTTCAAAGTCCTCTCGCCGAAGAGACGAGTGGGTAATTGGATCAGTCCAATTCCCAGAGACAAACACGTAATGTACACAGATGGTTCGGAAACCTCTCTTGGAGTTGGAGCCGGTGTGTTCAGCAGAAAACCGAAGACGGAAATCTCTGCCAATCTCGATAAGTTTGCTACAATCTTTTAGGCGGAGGTCTTCGCAATTGAATTGTGTGCTAGAGAGTTGACGAATAGACCTCTAGTAAACAAAAACATCAGTATTGTATCAGACAGTCAGGCTGCCCATGAAGCACTGAGCTCCAGCAAGATAAATTCCAAGTTTGTATGGAGCTGTATTGAATCCCTAAACTGACTGGGTGCAAACAACACTTTTACTCTGCTGTGGGTGCCTGGACACGAGGGGGTGGGAGGTAATGAAAAGACCGACATCCTCGCCAAACAGGGAACCGAATCTGAACCAGAACCATACTTTGGAATCACCGCAAGTGCGGCCAAAACAACTATCTCGGACTGGGCGGAGGGAAAAAAACTCACGTACTGGTCTGAATCACCAGGATTGATTGACCCATTCGAGTGTTTCTGCCTAAACCATCGGAAAATATAACCAGGTAGATCCTAGAATGGAGCAGGAGTAATCTGCGAATTCTGACAGGACTGCTCACGGAACACTATCGTATAAAATACCACATGTGAAGGATGGGTCTGAACAAACAAACAGACTGTCTGTTCTGCTGTGTGGACGACGAAACGGCTGAACATATATTATGTTCATGCTCCTGTTTAGAGAAACTGAAGTTCGACATATTTGGCTTTACCAATTTAGAACCTATAAGCAGATAAATCTGACCTAATTTAATTATGGACTTTGTAAGAAGATATGGATTGTACAGTGAACTGTAACCTCGAGGTCTGAGCCACAATAGACCCATCTGGGGTCGCAGTGGAGGGGCGTTAGTCGCCATACTCACATGGAACTAAACCTCTAACCCAACCTAACTCCTGAAGTCTGATGTTTCCACTTTTTCTACAAGTTGGAAGATAGCTGAGATACAGAAGGTTACCAAAATGCAATATTCTCAATTTCGCCCTGTATCTCGAAAATGAAGCTTGCTAAGAAAATTTTTTTCTGCGCTATCGCGAGTTCGCCAAGTATTTGGCAACGTTCGCGAAAACAGCAAATCTTGACCTTCAAAAAATAAACTAGACATCCCTTTGAAACATAGAAATGGGTTTCCCTGTACATACTGATCCATATAAAGAGTTTCAATATATTGGTATTTTAGGCACAGCTACCTACACACAGTTTGTATAAACCTTAAATAAACAAATATGAATGTTGGATGTTGAATATTCAATTTTGAATATTTCGGTTTACCACTCACAAGAAACTGTCTGACGTTCTAGCTCCAATTGTTGTCTGAGAGTTTTGTTATCTCTCGCAATACTTTCCAACTCCTTGAGTTGTTTTTGTAAGTGTTTGTAATTTGTTTCTTGTTGATCCAACATTGCCTTGTTGTCCGCCTGTAGCACTTCTTGATGATCTTTGAGTTGCTGTTTTTCATGGACTAACTGAAACAGAGTCACAGTCAATCGAACAGCCGTATTCGGAGCCTGTGGGCAGACCTGGTGATACTGAGTCTGATAATATAACAGTTGTTCTTGATTCGTCGATAATTCTTTCACTACATCACCTGCACCAGTTTCTGACAAGAGTCTGTTCAGTCCATCTACTTGACTTCGAAGAGCCATATTCTCAGATGTTATGCTATTGATGAACATTTTTGTTTGTTCGATCATAGTATTTTTTTCAAGAATCTGCGGAGTAAAACATCAAAAATCTTTGAATAAGCGAACATGATTCCGTACCTCATTGTTGAGATATTCAAACTGAGAAATAGTTTTCAATAGGGTGTTTTTTTCCATATCATGTTCTAACTTAATTTTTTCAATGTTGTCATGTAAATTGGTGACATCATCTTCGAGGAGTTTTATTTTTTTCACATATGAAGCTGTATCTACTATTGCTGTATTGTCAATTTGTTTGGAAAGCTCTATTGCAGACTTCTTCAAGTTTTCTTCTAGGTTTGTGTTTATTTCACGGAGTTCATTTCTGAAATTATCGATGTTATTCGAAAGTAATGACATTTGAAATATACTTACACTTCTTTATTTTTCATGGCTAGTTCTATATGGTCCTTCATGAGTTTCTTGAATAGGTCACTGAAGGCACATCGGGTCATCTCAATGACATCCACCAACTCTACGTTATTCTAAAAATAAGGAACATATCTTTATATTCCACTGATATTACTGAAAAGTTGTGTCTTGATGAGGCATAATTTCATCCTATGTGAGCAGTATGAGTGTGTTTTCAAGTATAATTGAATGAATTCTTGGAAATCTCAAAGATAGGAGGCTGCGTTAGACATTTTGGCGGCAAAGAAATATTGATCTGGAACTATTGGCTATTTTCTCGATTCCTTTTGATTTCACAAACAAAATAAATCAATTCTGATGAATCAATATGTTAATTCTACACAAAAAACGTTTTATGCCTTTATGGCGTATTATTTTCAAAGCAACACTGCTGAAAATTATATTCGAAAAAAATTTGGTAGTTCCCGCTCCTGCGAGTATCAGAAATTCTTTTTTCTACGACTGCTATGAAAAGTAGCGTAATTCTCATGGCTTACTCAATTTCAAAACCACGAATTGCTCATACCTGTGAGAAATATTATTTCTCACAGCACTTTGCCAACACCACGCATAGTAGGTACCTTTTATATGGAGAATCAACTAAAATCGACAAAAACTTAGTTGGCCGCTGTTGTCACGAACAACTGTCAACAGAATTTATTTCAATTTTTGAGGTAGTTATCAATCGTGTTTCGATAAAAAATCGCAATTTCATTGAATATTAGTAAGACATAATATACATATTTGTACCAGTGATAGGTAAATAATATGGAAACTTATGAAAGCAGTGACGATTTTGACAATACTCCACCAGAAATATTGGAACAAGCGGCAAAAGTAACATTAGATTTGTTGCCGGAAATTTCCCGAAAGAAGTATGAATTGGCATATGGGAAATTCATGGAATGGAGAAGAAATACGAAAATAAAATCGTTTTCGGAAAGTGTACTTTTGGTATACTTCGAAGAAATGTCGAAAACTTTGAAGGCGTCAACACTTTGGTCACAATATTCGATGTTGAAAAGTACCATCAGTATTAAACATAACATTGATATATCCACGTATCAAAAATTACGTGCATTTTTGAAAAGAAAGTCTGACAATTACGAAAAGTTGAACTTTTCCCACTTGTTGCACAATATACTATTTCCTCCATAATTAGGAAATATACAAGGGTGTATCTAGATCACACTCTGTATAGTGACTCCGAAACTGTTTCCAGCCTGCATAATAATTGTCCCCTAATGCATTTTAGCATTTTTGAAATTTTATTTCTCCGAAACCGTTTCCAGTCTCTATAAAATAGTATGCAAATGCAAGTTTACCGCAATCATTTGAATATCGATTGTCTGGCCTATCAGTCATCACCTGCCGTATGAGTTTTGATCAAGTTAGAAGTTTTCATGATGACAATTCCATTATGACAACTTCGATTGAATTTATATTGTGACAAAACTAATAATACATAATACTGAAAATGGCTTGCATCTTTGGTACCGATCATTCTGGAGTAAAAACAGTCTTTTTGAAAACATCCTTGAGGAGTATTTTCAATGAATGTTTATATCAACTGTATATCTTGAGGAATATCAATGTAGAGAACGATATCACTTTCCCAGATGAAATCGTGGAATATCGTTCTCTAAAAGAAAGGTGAATAATATACAAAGCGGCCATTAACAGACAATCATGGTTCAATTTCCAGGTACGAAGATACAGAAATGCATGCGGATTATAGAATAAATTTGAAGAGCAGCAACTACAATAAATTAGCCACGGATATAAATCGGCTGATCAACATCATAAGAGAGGGAAATGAAGAAATCAACTTCGGGGGTACTTGCAGTGGAATGGTCGGTTCAATAGCTGCGATAAACCAGATGCGTGAGGACGATATGCAGTTATTGAGGCAGAAAGTGGAGTATGAGGAGGAAATAGAGATGTTGAGGTGTCAGTGTGAAGAAGAAAGGTTGAATAACATACAAACGATCGATGATACCAATACTAAGATTCAGAAATTGAAATTCGAAGTGGAAGATGTTAGAGGTAATGAATGTGTAATTATAATTATGTAAGTGTATATAACTTGTGGTAATACTTTGAAAGAAACAGTATCGAATGGTGAATTTGATTAATCAATTATGAAAAATTGCAACCTCAATTGCAATGGAATAAACAAATTAATGAAGGAAAACACTTTATAAATTCAGGTTATCGAGAAATATTGTCTGTCCCAAATCAAATATCAGTTTCTATTATAGATTTTTCAATCTATTTTGGCATGGAGCATGATAGGTTCTATATAAACAAGTGTTTATCTGTACAATAAATTTATGAAACATCAACAAGGAAACATTCACAGAAGGATAATGATGTTCAACATGAATATGACACCATAAATAAAATCGATGGTTGGATATGAACTGAGAAATTCTCTTCAGTTTAAATGCAACAACATAAGTCATTCATATCATTTCAAAAAATTTGAGTAAATTGCCTCATTAAAAAATTGTTTTTTCTTCGGATCCGAGAATGAAATCAAATGCTGGTGGATTGAAAATTCAGAAAATTTTGAATGTTATTTGAATAGGTCAGAAATCATATTCTCGAATATTCATTTTAGTTGGTTGACATAATCATGAACAAGTTCAGAACTTAGTCGATTATGTTTCTATTGAAAAATAGTTAATTATTATAGACGAAAAATCCTTATGGATAATCATTTGGTTCAGATTTTCAACTTCAAACTGGCACTTGTTGTTAATAATATTGTTAATTATTACGTATATGCGTAAATCTCCCTTCATTTTGATGCTTCTATTGATAGAAACGTCTTTCAGTGTACGGGCGTTACGAGATTTCCTTTTTCAAAAATTGGGAAGCTGCAAGAAGAGAACAGAATTGTATGGCCTGTGATGCCAAAGAAACTCTCCACAGTTCCACTATGGCCACGATGACGAATAAAATTGAGTTGGAAAACAGATGCCACTTGGAATTAGAGAATTTCATCGAAGAGAGCAGAAATGTGAAATATTTTCAAGCCCGGAATAACTGTGGTTGTTCATGTTTTGAATTTCTAGGATTCCTTAGAGGGAATTCAGTATTGGATGAAACATTATGATGAGGAAATTGAGAAACGTGATAGTGATATGATGAACCTCAAGATAGAGATAGAAAAAATCACTGAAGAATACGCAAGAATGAAAGACACATACGAGTTACGTAAAGCTGCCATATCAGATTATATGGAATACAAGAGGATAAAAAAAGAGAAAGAAGATCAAGAAAAAATGGAGTGCCAAGCAGCTACAAAAATTCAAGTATGTTTTATTTTGATAATTGAATATCTTCATGATTAGAAAAATGCATAATTCATTTATGATTTAGGCTTGGTGGAAAGGTGTTATGGTTAGAAAGAAACTAGGGCCATACAGAAAGAAGAAAGGAAAAGGAAAAAGCAAGACGAAAATCAATAAAAAGAAAAAATAAACAAGCACCCCTCAAATTCATATACATGTATTGATTTCATTGAAACTGTATTTGTGATTTATAGAAACAAGTAGTGTTCACAGGAAAATTACAAAAGTATTTAACTATAATACTTACTTTACATATTGATATTGGCCAATTCATAGAAGGATCAATGGATTTTAGTCTGAGTTGTATGTCAGCGAGCTCTTCTATGAAACGGTCTCCTGCTTCAAAGGCATCTTTCAGTTTTTTCTCAGTGGTGTAGACTTTTATTTTAAATGTTGCCTTGTCCAAATCATGATTTGTTCTTGACCGATGCAAAAGAGCTATGGACATTCATCAAAAAACAAGAATTTTTCATACTAGAACTATTATTCAATAACGTTTTTATACTTTTTAGTTCAAAAATTTCTCCTGAGGATGCAGTCAGTAGTTCTTCCACATAACTGTTCTGTTTTTGTAAAGACGATATTTCATTTTCCAGGAATTGCAATTGCTGAAATGCATTTTCCAGTTTGCGTTGTAACTTTTTATTATGCGATATCAATTGCATCATCTGACTATGATCTTCTGAAATCATCAAATTATAATAGTGAGCAAAATCATCAAATGAGCCGTATTCGTTCTTTGTTCTCCATCAAGCATACCAAAAAGAATACGGAACTTTCATTTACCTAGAGTAGATTTCTGTTTTGATCCCAGCTCATGGGAGTTCGGCAAGTTTGAAACAACTTCTTGGTGTTTACGAAACAGAACTTCGTAATCAATTTGCAATTTCCTATTCTGTTTAACTAGTCTGTTTATCGTTTCTTGTAAGATTCCTTCATGTCTTCTGCCTATCTCTACCTGTTGCACCCACATTTCATTGGTAAGACTATTTGTTTTACGTTCAATATCTAGATGGAGTTTTGAGTGCTGAGCAAGAGTATCAACTTCAAGAAATAATAAACACGATTAAGTATGTTAATTTTCGAGACTTCATATATACCGCACTCACTGAGTTCATGTTGAATAGATTCATCCTTCAAGTACTCTTTGAAAATGTGGAGTAAGTGACTTTTACTCTCATCCAAACGAGCTGTTAATTCTTGTACAGTTCTTAAACTTTCTAATAGATTGAAGTCGAGTTCATTCTCAGGACTTTTTCTGTAAGGAATGAATTTGAAATAAGGTCTTCACAACTACAGACTACAGGTGAAATTGAAAAAATATATCATCTAGGTAAGTTGACTAACATAAGTATCTGATTATATTATATGACTCGTAAGAAGTCTATACAGGGTGTTATTTGATTGATGCCTAAAAATATAGAATGTGTTCCTTAGCTCATTTTGATATGCCAGAAACCTCTTAACTTTCGAGCTAAAGGGTGTTAAAATTTTAGGAAGAAGTTATTGAATAAAGAAACTCATCACAATGTGAAATAGGGTCACGGATTGGACAGATTACATCAGGATTGGACACCAAGTGTACACATATTGAACATAGTGGTCAACCCCTCGCCAAGTAGTGGTATGAAATTCTAAATAGGTAATCGATGCAGTTTGGGCACGATGGATTCTTAGCCTATTGATTGTTGATATCTATCTCATTGTAGCAACAAAAAATCACTATTTTAGGACGCCAAAATATTATTCTGTCATCAGAACGTCAAACAAATTTCTGATTTATTTCGCTAGTGGGTACCTACGAAGAAACAATTTCCACATAATAAATAAGTTGCTATAGTGATTTATCAAGGAAACGCAATTTGGTCAGGTTAACATTACTGGTGTGAAATTTTCGGGGGTGAATACGAAAGAGATGATGTTTTTATCAAAAAATAAATACAATTTGAAATGTATTTATCAATGAAACAGTTCTAGAATGTATTTTGTAGAGATTGATACACAACTACAGTATAAAGACAATTGAAAAATAAACGACGTTGTACAAGAAAACTCGACACAGAATAGGTGTGTATCAATCAATGCAAGGATTAAACACAATTGGTTTGATGACAGAATAATACTTTAATAATGGTGAGTATTCATAAACCTAGCATCAGTTCAGTGTTCGCTTTTAATAAGCGACCTCGAAATGCATATCGATTTGGTTAATACCAACAATAAGTGTCCTGATCGCTTACAGCAGAAACATTGTTTGAGAAATATTGTTTTGCTACTTTAAGTACCTCATTTTTCCACCATTGCTAAAAATTTTCCTGTCACAATCAACTTTTTTTCAATGAAAAGATTTACTTACACATCAACAAATGCCCATTGGTGCTTAGAAAGTGGATGTCAAATTTCATAGGACCAAAACTGTATCGAACTTATGATGAGATAACGATTTTTTTCTTAAAATCGAAAGTTGAGAGAGGTATATGTTTATATTATTTATTATTTATTTATTGAAAATGTTACTTCCAGTCAGAATCAAGTTCTGGTATAAGGAAGTATAGTTAACAATAATACCTAAAACTATACAATTATAATAAGCTGATGAATAATAAAATATTTGAAAACATTAATTATTAAATTTTGACAAATCATTTCATATTGGTGAGCAAAAGTCATCTATTTCGTTCAGAAATGATAAATTTTTTAAGATGGTATTTGAATTTTATTGTATTTCTGCAATTTTTTATATTATCTGCACAGAGAAAAAACTTTAATAATGGTTATTAAACATTTAATAGTCACAGTTAAAAACTTGAATACTATATGGGACAGATATACAGTATGATAGTGGTAGATAAAATATTTTACCTGAATTGGTATACCTGCAACAGACACTCAATTATATAGTTCATTGATCGTTAATGAATGAATAGATTTAAAATCAACTCAGGATTATTGAAGTGTTGAATAACATTGATTAGACAGTTTAATTACCATTGAACATTAGGTAATTCCCTTTGAAACATTGCTATATTATCTTACAGACTTCTTCACCTGTTGTTGGTGCATACTTCGATGATAGTTATTCAATAGTTTAATAAATTTTCAATACTATATAATTGCCACAGGTGAAAAAGCATGCTGTTGAAGAAAAATAGGTGATATTCTCTGAGATATATCTAACTGATGTTAGGTACATCCCTTAATTACTACCATTGAAGAATACAATTATTCCAGAAACATTATTAAGTTGTCCTCGGATCATAAATTACTCGTCTCTGGAACATAATTTAATTATCTCAGATGTGCAATTCAATTGAAATATTGGGGATGTTCAATGTGCATACCTGAAAAAAGAGTTCAGAAACGATCATTCTGATTCCTGATTTTCAATGGCCTGGATATAGGAAAAATTAAAGATATTGTCTACGAGTATCAAGTGCACCCGTGAAAAACATTGAAAATCATGAATCGGAATGATCATTTCTGGACCACTTTTTTAGATGATGCAGACCCATAGACATTTATTCCTGAAAAACAAAAAATGATAAATGAGAAAATTCAAATCATTTGGTATTATTTTTGGTTAACTGTTCATCATTTATCAACATTACAGAATCAATTTTTGAAAGCTGTTGCATATCGTTCAATTTGGATATGTGCTTATTGTTGAATATTGAAGCAAGAAAAATTTCATATTTTCAAGGTATCACACAATGGGGATGGTGATTCTATAGAAGAGAAAAAACATTGTACAAAATATAGGTACGACATTATATAATATATTTTAGTCATTTGTAATTTCAGTACAAACTACATAAATAAATGAACTTGAAATGATTTTTTTCAATGTACAATAGTTGTCATATACAAATATATTTCAGACGTTGATGGAGTATCTGCGGGCCGCGGGGGTACTAGGTCCACTTGAATTTAGATCAAGTGGCATCAAGTTCCAATCAGGTACATCATTACCATCAGCACCCTGAAATTTGAAAATTCCTCTATATAATGTGTTAAATTTCTCCTATTATTTTCTTGAAAATTCAAACAAATAATCCTATTTCAAGAGATTCATTGGAAGAATAAACTCTTAACAGGTATAGCAAACGTCCCGTGAGCCCATCCAAGTAAGGCCATTCTTTATAAAACTCTACTTTGACTCGAATCCAGGGACACCGAATAAGAAAAATCAAGATTCGTTTCCTGTAATTTTTTCCCGTGTACGTACTATCAGAAATAGGATTTTTTTGCAAACATTCACAGTAGAGAGTCTTTTTATTTTGATATTTTCAAATTTAATTCTCGGCTTTTGTGAAATATAACTATAAAAACTCCTCTGTTTCGGTAATAACTTGAGATCAATTCATTTATTTTTCTGAGATTATATATTTCTTTAATCTTCAACAAAATTTCGATAAAAATATTGAGAGGTCACAATCAAAATAGGAGATATTTTCAAAATATAACCTCTTCAAATAAAAAATAAATGGCACGAACCACGAATAAAACGGACATATAATATCAGATGTAACAATAAATTGCAAATGATCAACCAACATAAGGAACTAGAGGGTTTAGAATCATTTTCGGAAGGAGAAAAACATATCACTAGAAAACGTGTGTGCTCAAAAAGATTTCTTGTTGCACGGAGAAAAAGGAATGGGATATTACTCACCAAGAAAGAAAGGAGAGTTTTGCGTAAACTTCGCCAAACCCTGCTGTTTCAAAGTGTCGTAGATGAACTGCTTATGCTGCTTCTATTTTTCAACTCTCGACCTGGGGCTAGTCGCTCCATAGTGATAATTTCACTGGGATCAATGTTTTTGGAATAGTCACAATCACTTAACTTACATGCACAACACAAATGTTCCAGAATAGAAAAAGGCACGCATAAGTGTCCGCAAACACCAAAGGTACATATTCTTAGTACAGATACAGACTGAGTTCATTAATGGAATGAAGTGCAGAAGAGTTGCGCAGTCAGCTCGTGGCGTAATCGTGGGTATTCGAAACTAGCCGAATGATGACGAAACAGAGAAATCAAGTGAACTGTTACCTGTTGTTATTAAACTGGTAATAATGGCAGAATTATTCCTTTCACTCATAGAAAACAAGGATTGAGGGACAATTATATTAATGTTAGGTGGATTGTTGTATACTGAGTATTAAACACATCGATAAAAATTAATCAAGCACAAGAAAGATGGCCTGTTTCAGGAGCATAGTTAACCTGCCACTGGAAGTCGATATCAGAAAAAAATTTTCACCTATTGTAATGGTACAAAAGTTCATTAATATATTTGTGGGTATTAAATTTTACTCAAGTGTACTTGTGTACCTGGACCGTTTTTCTCTGTGTGGTAATTTGTTATATTCCAAGAGAGCAGCGTGGGTGAATCTTTTTTGGCCTATAGACGTATTAGCGATATCAAGATGAAATAAACCATGTTGTCTAGTTTGATAATTATGAATTTCATTGTTTCGTGTTAAAATAAAATTAGATTTCAATCTTTTATTTATGATATTGTATGTAATTTTCAGTCTTTCGATTTTGAACATTTCTTCTAATGAGAATGATTCAGTTATTTTATATAATTGATTTGTTGGTGTATCATATGGTAAACGATACAGTACTTTCAATGTCTTTTTATATAATGCAGATATTTTATTAAAATTGTTTTTTGAACAGTATCCCCAAACATTTATCAAATAGTTAATACGACTGAGTATATGAGAATATAGAATTATATTTGCAACTTTTTTATTCAGCTTGGGACATCTTCTCAGGGCTCCAATAATAGGAGATATTTTTTTCTTCAAAACATTTATATGTTTGTCCCACTTCAATTTATCATCAAACCAAATCCCAAGATACTTTTTCTCATTAGTTCGTTTCAAAGATTCATTTTTAATTCTGAGATTTAAATTTATATTTTGTTTATTTTTTTGTTGAAAAATCATATATTCAGTTTTATCAGTATTTATTGATAAGAGGTTTGAATGCAGCCAATTTTCAAATTTCATCATATGAACTATTCTTCTCGAAATGAGCTGACGAACAAACCATATCACATATTTCTAGCCATCAATTAAATCACACCCTGTATTTGGTCAAAGTGGGGGTAGTGTAGATTATACAGGGTGGTATTGAAATAAGTGCAAATATTTCAAAACTTGAGAAAACGCCATACTATCGAATGACACCATAAAAAAATAGGAATGTAAATAAAATTTGGGGTTAGACCTCTTTTTCTACCCAAAGTTTCACACTGTAACAATTCCAACCTCACCGCACTAATCAAATTTCCGTGCGGAAGGTATAACCACGCGGAGTTCAATCATTCAAATTGTTTCAAAGTGGCGTACTCGTTTTTGTTCAAATATTTTTCGTTGATCAGAATTAGAAAAAAAAAATGATATCATGTGAATATTGGTTAGACTGTATCATATATCGATGTGCTGAATATATGTATACTTATTTCAAAAACACCTCGTATATATGATAATCCAAAGACATCTCAACAACTTTCATCCAACTGATCAGAGATCAGCTGTGAAGGAACATACTATGTATTCGGTGTTCTTTGACGAAATGAAAGCTCAAAATATTATCCTTCACTTCTCATCTCTGATCAGTGGAGCGAAAGTTCTGGAGACGTCTTTGAGTTTTCGTATATAATAATACATGATGATATTTTTAGGTTATACTCACATGAATGAGGTTATGATACTCATAACCTCATCTTTCGCAAAATTTTTCTTGGTTGACTTGTGATCTCCTTCATGCTGATTTTCACATATGGTGCTGCTTTCATTTCTGGTATTCTCACTTCGAATAGTAAACTCTCGGGTCAAATCTGCTGCCAATTTGTCATTCTGAGTATGTTTTTTCATGAATTTTCGGAAAAATTGATGTTTTATCTTCAGCGCAGGTGGTAAAGAATGCTTAAATGAATTGTGTTCAAGTTTTTCATTTATCTCTTATGGTATTTTCAATTAAGAGAGGAATAATTCGAAAAAACTACCATTTACACACTCCAACAAATCAACTTTCAATAACTAGCATATTTTTTTGGAGGAACATTATGCAATGAGAACACTCTCAAATTATCCTATCCTATCATCTAATTTTATATCTACTAGTAATTCGGAAATTCACAGCTAAGTATAATACAAGACAATATAACTTGTTCCATCATGATTCTGATGCAAAACTTTTTAATTGGCCAAAAAAAATTTACCCACGATGAACTTCCTTAATACATAAAAATTTTTCAAAGGGACCGATGGCTTGCGGTGATGTCTTTTTCCAACTGACTTTGTATAAACTATACATTTTCTCGAACCAACATAGTGCATCTATACAAATTCAGCAAACTAAAAGATCTCATATGGTCTTAGCAATATAATTACTTCTTTTGGGAATGAGATGGAAACTTTTATGGTTATTATTGTGAGTTGAACTCACCAATCAACAATACTATATTTGTATAATTCGAGAAGGGATATATAGGTACTTTTCTGTGCATCAGTGAAAGAAATACTTTGGAAATGGGATTAAGTGAAACATTTCTTTTCAGTGCTCAATCAAAATTCATTTGCCAGAAAATAATGATGAGGAATGATTCATTCAACATGATAATGACTGTGATCTCACCTCAGAGTCCGAGGATATTGCTGATTTAATCATTTTTCTATTACAATGAGATGAATCTCCTATTTTAGTTTCATAATTCTCCACTATCAGTTCAACCTCCTCTTCAGTGTGAATACCCAAAGTAGAATTGCTGGCAACATAATCAAGATTCTGAGATGCGATATCTATGGATTTTTGTACTTCTGGAACCTTGTTTTTTTTTCGAGTACGTTTGACGAAGGCTGATAGTAGATTTGAGGATTTCCTGGACTTGATACTGGATGTACTAGGGACTGGCTGATCAACACGCTGATTATTTTCAGCAGAAACATCATATTTCCGATCGGTAGAACTAGATTTCATCTGATTTCCCTAGAATCTGTCATTAAAGAAAATGTTTACTGCTCGCAACATGTCTTTCTTACATTATTCATGGATTGTTCGTCCCCCATTATTTCTAGATCAGCGATATCGAAATTTTGAATGAAAATATTTGATGATGACAAAGAGAATAGTCTCATCCACTGTCAAGGTTTTCTTACATAATGTCATATCATTGTCACATCACTTCCCTACATCTGCCTACATCCATGGTTCTATTATTTATACAGAGTGACATATCAGCTACAGTCGAACGAATATGTCAATCAACTATGAATTTCATTTTGGGAATGTAGTAGTACTTGGAGAGTACTTGAAGAGTTTCTGACATTGCCAGGCGAGTGAACCTCTGGAGTTCATCCCTAAGATGCTCTATAGGCCCTGAATGATTATTTATATGATAATCGAAAAGTTCCATACTTTCCCAAAACACTTGTATCTTATCTCAACTTTGCCACAGAGTAACTTTTTCCCTGTAAACTGATCGAGGCATCAATTTTATTTCGAGAATTTGAATTCAGGCTGACACTTCGAAACATAAATTTTCGACTTTGTCGAAATTTCACCAGATTCGGACAATAGTTTCTAGGCGTTCAATTTGGCAACATTTTTTGCTAGCCGGTTTTTTTGAAGATTTCAATTCAACCCCGGAATGAAATTCTTTTCAGAATAGCCACAGACCACTCAACTACCAGATACGAAAGTTATAGGCCTTCAGCCATAACCAAATTATTATGCGCCTGTGCGGCTTCGCCATGGTTACAAGAACAAAATATTTCTATTAAATGGGTTGAATTGACCACACCACTTCACTTGGCCAAATATAAATGATTAGGGATGCTTTAATATTTTTCAGTTTCATCATCGAACTCAATTAGATACTGATCTAGGTCGCTAAATTTATCAATACTCAGGTATAATTCAATTATGAATATGCTACAATAGTATATTACGTAAAATGTGTTGAAAGAAGCATATTACCCACGAATCGAAAAGTTACGCACGTAGCCGCTGAGCGGCGAGTGCGTAATTGCTTTACAACACGCATTACGTACTATACTTTACCAATTGCCATATAGTTCTTCAAAAAAGTTTGGACAAACAGTCTGAATTATAATTCTTGACAGTTATGTCATCCGCTGTTGACGGCGATTGCGCGATCATGACATACCTATAATGGCGGAATCATGATGAAAATAGACTGGTGTAACCACTTGTCAATTGTTTCTTTCCAAAACGTGTAGACCGCGAAACACCGTAGCAAGGCCGCACCGGATTGACTGTAGATGGCGTAGGGAACATCGTGCCACATATAATTCACAGATATAATGAAAATTTCACGTCTTTTCCATTAAATCAATCACTTTTCCTCAATGTTTTTAAATTACGAATCAATATACGTAAATGTGAACAACAAAACAAAACAACCATTGTGTAGCAAGATCACTTCGGGAACAGCGCCATCTAGCGTTAGTTTTGCGCGGCCTTACTACGGTGATAGAATTCGACATAATCAAGTAGGCCAGAGGTCTACAAAAATGTCTAGGGTTTTGTAAGAGGGAGCTATTTCACCATACATATATCCACCTTTGGCGGAATAAACGAAAACTGTGCGATGTGCTTACTGTGCGTAAAGAGCTACTTACTGAGGCTGTATCCCTATTTTTTCTGCCTACTTTCTATAGTGGTCGTAGGTGAAGATACTTGCACCAGTTCTACGAATAGTGCAAAGAAATTGGGGCATTCAAACATCAAAGGCCGTATCAAAACTTTAGCATGTGGTAGTTGGGTGATCTATGGAATGACATCATGAATGACCAAAAACAATTTTTTATGTCTCAGATGTGGGTGATAATCATCAGCAGACCTGGTGGGCCGAGACAGTATTGTCTTGCTCTTGCTTAAAATAATTGAGAGAACTTTTAGTATCCTCTTTTAGTGGTAATGAGATCTAGTTCTTTGAAGAGGACTGAAGGAATTATCCACTTCTATAATGTGAATGGTGTGATTTCCTTGTATCCTTCATCGATCTTCGAACACTTGATGGCGAGAACATCACTACATTGCTATATATTATTTGTAAAGATATAATGTCTAGGGGTGGGCGATAATGATTTTGAAATATCGATTATCGATATTCATAATGTATCGATATTATCGATTTATCGATATTATCGATAATTATCGATATCATCGATATCATCGATATTATCGATATCATCGATATTATCGATATTATCGATAATATCGATAAATCGATAATTTTTCTCCAAATTATTATCGATAATTAATTATCGATATTTCGATTATTTTTTCCACCCCTAGTCGTGACAAGGGTATCTTTATGAAACTAATTTTTTATATTTACTTTCTGGTTTCTAGGTAGGTATAATAAAAAAAGCTATTTTATCATTATATTATTTTTCAAGAAATGAGCGATCGAATAAAAATATTCCATATAATTAGATAACTCACCTTACTTGATACTTGTTACTCGTTCAACACATAACTAACCAAAAAGTTTGCCACCACAACTAATAAGGGTTGCCACGTTGCCAGATGTCAGATAGCTTCAGGCAAGTTGCTGTGCTGGAGTCCTATGTTGTTGGAACAAGGCTAGTACAGGGTGGCGTGTCTTATTATATTTTCATTCTTACCTCAATTCTTACCAACAGGTATCTGTTTTATACAGGGTGTTCCATATAAAAAACAAAAATACCTATTTTTCTGATGCTCATTCATTTTGATAATTTTATGAATCGATAATCGATAATTTCGATAATTTCGATATAATCGATGATATTGATAATTTCGATAATATCGATAATTTCGATAATATCGATAATTCCGATATTATCGATAATTCCGATAATATCGATAATATCGATAATATCGATAATATCGATAAATCGATAATTTTTCTCCAAATTATTATCGATAATTATCGATAATGATCGATAATTATCGATATATCGATAATTTTTCCCACCCCTAATAATGTCCCGATCAGAAATTTTGGTAAGGGGTAGTGATAATTTGTGACTTTATTTCATGAAGAATGCTACTATATTCAACATCTTTCTTCTAGTGAATTCACATATTATCCAGTTAGGATCTAGATCTACATATATCTTTATGACCTCAATATAAAGTTCTGTATGCGATTACGTCTAGTTTGATCACTCATTCTCACCGATCAGTCTGATCGAGGCAACGAAATGGTCGACATCGAACCAAACCAACTTATTTTGGTTGACAGACGATTCCAGGATATCACATATCACATATACACATACAATATAACACCTGAGGCGAGGGTTCAAACCTACCACACATCAGTTATGTGAATCCCGACAAGCCTAGGGTCTTCAATCGATGTACAAGGCAAGATTGAAACAATCATTTATCTAAGTACGGTTTATTTATTAAACAGCATAAGGACTATGATATAGATTAGTTTTTTCAATATACATATCTACAAGATGATAGAGAGATAGTTTAAAGGTAATAATGGCTATACAACTTCTAGATATAATATTCTAAATATAGATCCTTCTGAATAAGGTTAAAAACTCACAATTTTTGCAGCACCACACCAAATTATTCGAATATTCAAATGGACGTTAAGTTTCAAGTTCTCTTTGGCACCAAAACTAAAATATAAATACTGACGAATAAGCCTTGGGAGACGATTCGAAAATTGAGCATGGATTCTATTACTTCCTATCTTCCAAAGATCATTCGGCGATTCGAACATGACATATGATTCATTAGGTCATTATTGGAATTTGAAATTTCTCCAACAGTACATTATAAATATTTGCTTCAATGTATTCAATAGATAATTACAATCGTTAGATAATTATTTCCACGGCTTGTCAACCCACCACTCTTATAAAATATATTTTTGATGTCAATTCAACACATAAGTGAAATCGACATGAAAATAACTTTCAAATTGAAACCTCAACTATCGTTATCGCTCTTAGATAAAGGTAGTGGCAAAATTTAAACAAATAAGTGCAAGAGGAAACTTAGAATTGAATAGTTTAGTACATAAAGTAGCTGACAATAAATTATTGAATTTATAAATTCACCTCGGTTATGTTGAAATAAAATGATGAGATGATATGATAAGCATTCAAATACAAATAGGTAATGACATCAATACTTCATCATTGAAGATGTCTGAATTTCATGCATGATAGCATCAATGCTGCTTGATAAAGTATATTCAGAATCAATTGCAGAATATCGTACACATGGTGCGGGATATTCTGCAATTGATGTTGTATAAACTTCGATCCAATATGATACCTATACCTACTACAAACTATGAATAAGATAATTGAAATCCGCGGTATTATGATCACAATAAACATCGATATGTTTTTTGAAATTTATGACCTTTTTACAATTAAAATATTCGATTTGATAATTGATATAATATCCGATGCATATGAATGATTGAAAAATTAAAAAGCAGCTGGTAACCATACCTGTTGCATTGGATTGGATATACCAGACGCTGCACTGAATATTATTATTTCACTGATTTTCATAAGAATTAGCATGAGAGACTGTGATAGATTCGAAATCTAACTCATTCAACAGCAACGTTTCGAGTGTAAACATTGTAATCAACAGTAACATATCATCAAAGAGCACAGTTCATAGAATATCCTCCTTGTTCATTTCTTCCACTTTATTGTTATTGTTCACATTCCGCTTCACTGCAGCATAAATCGAGGCTGCTTTGTAATTGATGGGTCCGTAGGATTTGTAATCTACGTCTGCATAGTCCAAATCACAGGGATCGGGTCTGTAAGGCTACAAATAAGATGAATCAGAGATGCTAACAAACTAGTTCTTCAGGAAGTGATCTAGGAACTCAGTATTCAATTATAGATCTTTGTGAAAGTTTCTGTCCAAATACTCTCTTGACTCACTCCGAAGTTCTTCATTCGGTTAGCGGAGGACATTGAGCACACATCGGAAGAAATTAAGTTTTGCTCCCAAAATATATATTTGATTTTATCCACGATCGCATAAATTCGAGAGCGTCGTTCTTAAAATTGTGATTCATCAATATGATGATTCTGTCATATTGAATTTGTTTATTGTGGGATCTTGTTCAAAAAACTAGTTTCAACAAAATTTCTGTTCTATATAAAAAGGCATTGAAAGTAATGTCTTTCATATGATACTCCAACAAATCAGATGTATAAGGAAACAAACACAATTTCTTTGAAAGAGCACTTTTCAATCAATACTCAAAATTCCTATTATATCATCAACAAAAAGCTTGAATCAAATTTTATAGTAATTAGGAATTCCCAAATTCATGGTCATCACACTAGACAATATAACTTGTTTTATCTTGAAGCTGCAAATTCTAAACTTGAACAAAAAAAGTTTACACATGAGGTGATTTCGAAATTCAATCAATTACCAGAAGATATATCGAAAACAGCCAAAATATTATAAAATTCAAAAATAAAGTGAAAAAATATATGTATATGCAAAGGAATGATCAAAGCTGAAAGACTTCATGAATTTCCTTTATTTCTTCTTCACTGTTTTTTCCCCTTCTTTTTGAGTATTATGTGAGTACTGTTATTTTATATGTTATGTAAGTTTTGTTCACTATTTGTAATTTCAATTATACAGCAGTCGATAATACTTCATGAATGATCGTATACCAGGAAAAACTGTCTGATCATTCATGTCATTCCTACTAGAAAATTAATTTTACTTTATATATTATTTGTATGGAATGTATCAATGAAGGAAAGAATGTTACGCAATAACTGGAATAAAAAAAAATATTTGACTTATAGTAGTGATGAAGACACTGATAGGGTACTTGGGTAGCACAGATCTTTTACGTATATCTCTACCAAAGAAGCAAGCTGAAGCCAATTTATTTTACCTTCCATGGAAGGTGATATTTTTTCCCTCCCGTGGGAGTAAAATTGACAGGTTTGTGTCCTTGATTGAGGGAGCAAACGTCTACTTTTGATGCAGTGAGTAGATAAAATTAGTTAGAAGGTTCGTGCACTACGATGTTAATTTGGTAGAAATAAATATTTGGATATGGGAGACTGAGCTATATGATTTTTTGAAACAATTTGTTTGGGGGGAATCTTGTTTTGTTTTAATTAAAATTCATTATTACCTTAGAAAATATATGTATCACTACCAGGAGTGGTTGTTCCATTAGTCTAAAACAGATTTAGAAAAAGTTAAGTTCTTGTCATAGATTGGTATATTTGTTTGGCAGAGGAAAAGCATAATTTTAAGATGAGATAACTAAGTCCAGGATAATATATTGAATATCTGCTTTTTCAATTTGCACATATCATTTGTGAAATGGAGCATTGATATCGCTATTATATATACAGCTCATTTTCCATTATCTCCTTTACCATTCTATATAGGATCACTTAATCAGAGTTGGCGAAATAAGGCTTGACATTTTTTTTTTCTGCGACTGAGAAACATATTCATGGTGAAACAACAAACAAAGTATACTATGAAAGCTCTGTTTGACTAAGGATGTTAGTAAGACGTGTCGAACAATCATATGAACGAATTTGAAATTGATGTTATATCTTTGAGGTATTCCTATTATGTTCCATTGGTCCCATTAATTTCTATCAATCTGTGAAGGCATTTGATAATGAACGGAAAATGATACTTTTTCATCTTGACCATAAATTCGCGTATGAAACAGATGGTTAAGGGAAATATGGTAAACCAGCCAAATCGAATTGAGTAATGTGATAATATTGTCTTGAAAAGCAAAAATTGTATTGATATTGAGTATGAAAATCACACACGCTTTGTTGCTTGATCTCAATTCAATATCTAAGTGAACAGCAAAGTGGAAGTTATTTATTTAACTAATATATTCTTGAATATATTATTATGTGATTCTTTCCGTCTACGGAGAATATTATCGTCCCTGGAAGGACTTATGAGAAAAATAATAACTAAGAAATTGAACTAAATGACACTGATTATGAGCGAGATTGACAGAATTGATGAGATATTCATCGATTCTACCAACTTCGGAAACGATAGAAATAACTTGACTTAACAAACCTTACTTCAACCAGTTACTTTGGAATCGAACGTTATACGTCAATTTCTTGACCAATATCATTGAATTTGAGTGTTGCGTATTCAGTCTTTGGTTTGGAATTTTGCGATTTGCTTCTGGAAGAACCAGAGTCGTGCAGGCTCCTATTCTTGTTATTCGCAGGAATGTCAAGATCTGCGTACACAACACCGTTAGGCTTGTTAGCTACATCCAGCATGCCGCAACCGAGCAAAGGCTGGGGGTATTGAAGCTGCACGGAGTTCTGCATGTTCTCTTGGAAATGCACGTTTTCCTGGAAATGCACGTTTTCCTGGAAATGCACGTTTTCCTGGTGATCGCCAGGTCTCCTCAGCACAAGAGGACCTTTGGTCTTTTGCCTGGGCTTCTCTCGCTTCTGATGCCTCGGCCTATGGCTACCTTCTGGATAATCCGATACATAGCCGTTCTTCATAAGATTTTCTTCGTGGAGGTTTTTTATCGGCTGGAAATAGCTCTCGGCAGTTTGGTACTTGAAACTGTGGCATTTCTGAAGCGGGATTTGGAAATGGTGCTTTTTCGGTTTTGATTTGGAAGAGAACGATTTGCTCTTTTGTACTTGCTCTTGAAACAGAGCCTTCGGCATTAGTTTGGTATGTTTTTGATGAGGTATCGTTGCCGAGTACTGGGGTGGGACAACCGTGCCCAGTTGTTTGAAATGTGGGGTTGTAAGCGTATAAAATGCATTCTGGAAATAATTGACTTGTTAGTAGTTTAGTGAAGTATAATATTCATCTTCCTGAGATTTTTTCGATATATCATATTGAAGTCATTAATGAAATAGGTAGTAGGTATTGTTACAATAGTTTTTGATCTATTTATTACTGAGCTACTGAACAAATGATCCGCAACAAGCACATTTTTGCACTGAATTCAACATTCGATATTTTCGAAAAACATTTCACATATTTTTTTCTCCCATTCTGAAGATACACTCATGAGTGTATGACTACTAGACCGCTGATGAAAATACAAAGTGATATTTGGTAATGCAGGTTGGCAAACACACTTCTGCAAGATGATTCCATTCTTTATGCTCCCAATTCCATAGAATGTTTTACAGATTTTTTTTAATCTCATTTTCAAAATTTCTTTTATGTTCTGGTTCCCACGAAGAGATATATCCTGTAATGTTCAGATCGTGAGAACCAAGGGAAATAAGGTAGGAATTGGTGTTCTTCTAAAATTTCTGGAGGTTATATGCCTCGGGGAACACCTCCCTTGGCAATGTGTTCCAGAGCATCGCTGTTCGTTGGATGAACGAGTCGTTGGAAAAATATGTTCTGCAGGTCTCCAAAGAGACGACGAAGAGGTGCGAAGCCTCAACTCGACGGGTTAATCTCGCGGGGACTGCTAAGGGAGGAACAATTATTGATATTTCAGAAGAGCTTCGTCCATGAAAGTAACTATGAAATAGCGTCCTTTTTTGGACAGAATCCAACAGTTTCAGGGTATGTTTGGGTGCTACACTCCAAATATGGGAACAGTATTCCAGGACAGGTCGGATCTGTGCCTTATAGATCATAAGCAGCTGACTGGAAGTGAAATAGCTCCTGGCCCGAATCAGAAAACCAAGTTTTTGGCATGCACTTTTAGCAATTGATCTCACGTGATCAAGAAAGGTTATTGCTGATAGTAATATCAAGCATCGAAATGGATGTCTACAAAGGTATGGTTACTCCTGACAAGCTTATGTTGAATGTAAAAACTTCACAAACGATAAGATTCCCACAAAACTCATTTGCCATGGATTTCCATGAAGTAACGGGAGTCAATTCAAAATCTCAAGCATATTCCTAGAAATGGTTTCGCAAGTGTGCTTCCATCTCTTCAAGTATTCAGAAGTACCAGTTCAATAAAAAAAAATCTGGTCAGAGGAACAAAATCTCACAGTTACGGAATTTTTTTTTCAATACTGAAGAGAAGAAAAAAATGAGTAAACCTTGTCGAGTAATAGCATCATGAAAATGAGATTCGAACAAATCACAAAAAAATTTACATTGATTAGGGAGCATGGAGAATTTTTCAACAAATTGCAGAGGTTTGTTTGTCACCTAATATGAAGTCGCCAAAATGTGCTTGTGAGGTTCAATCGATCAGAAATTTAGAATTATCTAGAACCATGACTAACAATAGCTCCTCAGGAAGATATTATATTCATTACAAGCAACAAAAAAAAACAAACCTGGCAGTTGCTATTAGCAATATTAGCACTCCATTTATTAGAGGGATTCAAGATAGGCATTCTTGGAACACAGGAAAATTGCTCAGTTGGTTTGTCATCCTCAACGTTCATCAAAATAGTTTTTTCCGGATTGGAAGGACTCAGCACAGGTGGAGTCTTGATTTTTGATTTGATCTGGAGTGATAGCGCACCTTTGGGACTCTCGGTCTTAGGTTTCACAAAATTGGGGCTGACTTTGAGGATTGGTGAGTTTTTCAAAGCATGAGAAGATATGGATGGTAGAGGCATATTTGCTTTTGAACTCACAGCGACCAATTTGGCTTTCTGGTTATCTCCATTTTTTGTCTTCTTATCATTAGCAAGGCAATTATCATTGTTCAATACTTTATTATCATCACATGATTCATTAATTTTCTTGTCATTTCTAACAACTTCACTGGAAGCATGAACTAAAACTTCTACGGTCGATGTATCAGCTATTTCATTGTTAGTACTCTCACTAGAACTGTCCAAGCAAATTCCTCCACCTTCTTGTGATGTTTCCTTCAGGTATCCTGAAATATTGGCATACACAATTTCTGGTGTGGATTTGCTACATCGAGGAGCTGGAACGGGAATTGTTGTTTTTGTATGCTCGCAAGTTTCTTGTCTTTCTTCAGTAACATGGACACTATCAGTTGAATCGTTAACTTTATCATACACGAGACAGGGTTTTTGACACAGTGCTAGCTCACTGAAGCACTTCTTCGGTAGAGCAACAACTATTGGACGTTTCTTAGCATGTTTTTTGCATCGCATGGAGTAGAACGTTGGTGAGTAGCATTTGTGTTTCCTAATATCCAATGAACCGAAACGTTTTTCAACTATCGTATTGAGTTTTCGATGAGTCAGAACTTTCTCCTTTTTCGTGGGTTCTTTTGTTCCAGATGCTTTCGGAACATATTTCTGAGTGTGTAGATTGATTCCAGATGCGCTTCTTCTTATTTGATAGTTTGATTCATTTCTTCCAGCAACCCTGCTTAGATTTGAAGACAGAGATATTATACCATTCGTTTTTGGAAATACTGGGATGTGACCTCTCGTGTTTTCATTCCAGTTATTATGGGGTGATATTCCAGATATTGTATAAGCACCTGAATGATTTTTCAAATGCGGTAGTTGCGAAAATATTGATGGTAGAGACTGATTGCACATACTTGTAGTCTCGAAATCAGCTGAATCAGGTTCATAGAAACCTTTTCGTGAAGATATATTATTCTGAAAGCCATGGAAGGATTGGTGTCTCTTGATCATTTTTGCATTTTCCGATCGAACGTTGTAGGGATTAGAAGCAATGGTCTGGTTTGAAGACATTAATGATTTGGTTGAGGATGCAAAACTATGAGAAATATTGCCTTGGTTGAAAGGTGCTATTATTGATATGGGCTGTAAAAACAAAACAAACATGCAAACATAAACAAAAACAGAAGTAGCCAAAGACATTAGCAAATCATAAAAATAATCAACTATTGGCAGATACAAAAAATTGTGATAAATATTGACTTGCGAATTTGATTCCATAGGAATTGAAAGTGATCAATAATTAATCATAAAATGGTAGGAATGTATGTACCTACACATTTGCATTGCCAAAATATGGGAAGCTGTTCGTATTCTCAGGCACATAATTAGTAATATTGCCATATGATTATAATGAATGAAAGAATGTTTCGTTCATCTTCCTCAAAATACAAAATATACTATCACTCGAAGTGGCTGATGAAATTTTGCTTAAATAATTGTGTTTTTTCGGATCGTGAAAATTTTAAATCTCTATCTATAAAATTTAAACGTTATCGCCGAATGCTTACTATATACGGTACGAAACTTCAAAGGGTGATTCGTTGGGTCGGTTTAAGGAAGAAAGTTCCGTAAAAAATATAGAAAAAGAATTTATAGAATGTCATAAATATCCTTGAATCAATCTAGCTGGTTGAAATTCGATAATAAGTCCTCTCACAAGATTCGAGTTATAGGGTCTAGTAGCGTCTCAATGGGTACCTACCACAGCCAATGCTATTGAGAAGGAGAGTGCGACTTTTTCTGTTGTATTAATCTTCTTCAGATCAAGCAACTGAGAACACCACTCTTGGGTTGACTGTGTTTTCTTCAAATTTAGCTTCGTTTGTGAGAAATTAGTTTTTATTATACAAGTTCAATAAGACACTATTTTGCCGCTCGCGTTGTTTGGATGATATATACTATTTTTTCTCTAATGCAATCATTTGTACTTTTTCATTTGAAGAAATTCATCACTAGGAACATCGAATACTACAAAGATATGAGAAAAAAATAGTTGGTAACAATGAAAATACATTTGAATGTTCATTCCCAAAGTTGACAGATGGCAAAAAAATATTCAAATTCACATAATTATTCCAGCGATATAATTTGAAATTGTTAGTTTATCAAAATTCTGAATTTCCTATTTTGAGAATGACTGAAGAGGCTGAAGGTTACATATCATAAGCTTCTGTGGAGAAAAGATATAAGGTACTTCTACAACACATTCTGATGCCTCTACCTCACAGTCGCATTGCACAAACGAATAACACTTGAATAATCAGACTGAATAATTTCATCTCAACAGCAGCCCAACGAAACTCACTAGCAAATTTGATAGGTTATTTATGAATGTTCAAGATACCTGTAATGTTAGTTATTTGTTGCGTTCTGTCTCTAAGCGCTAGTGTGTCTGACAGTTTGACGTTGACGTTACCATTACAAACTTAGGAACAAGATATTCAGCTTGACCTGATAGAAGCTGTTTTGGTACGCATTTGAGTGTCATAATCATCATTGAAGACGTTATATAGAAGAAAAAAATCGAGTCACTCTACTGCCTACTAAAGCCTCCGTCCTTCCTTGCTCGCACAAGACTCTCGAAGACTTCTGTGGGTTGCTCGTAAGGGGGCAACCGAATGACGGATAGAACAATTTTAGAATTTTTTTAGAATTTCCTATGATTATCCATATTCAACCCAGTTCTGTTATATCATGAACATATAAGAAAAAATCGATTTTCTCTGAATATCGAGAAAACATCTCGCTCATTTGTCTCAAGCTTAGTACTTTTTCACTCCTCCTTCATTATGAGCTACTAATAAAATTTGAATCAATCAGGTCAGCGGGTTGTTTTGGAAGCAAACTGAGTTTCCAGAAATTACCTAACGAATCACCCTTGAAGTTCCGTGACGTGAATAGAAAAATTCTGTACAATAATATGAGACCTTCAAACACTGATGAGTGTACTTATAGTTTTGACCATGTCTTTACGTTATGGCATGGCAGTATTACTTGTCATGTGGATTCGGTAACTAGAACTAGGTGAATATATGAAGATTCTTACTTTATTTGGTGGGTTCTGCATACCGTGGAAGGGAAGATTTTCATAGAATCCCTTGTCGGGATCAATTAAGGGGTCTGCGGTACCTCCAAGCGGTAGGGCGACCCCAAGTCTCGGTTTATCTTCTGTAGAGGACAGGTTTGGTGCTGAAAAATTGAGAAATTGTATTCAAATGAATAATATCACTTGATGTTGATACAGTGAGTCCATCGATTCTTGCATAATATCAATCAAAGTTCAGATTTTCGAATATGAGAATACAGTTTTTTGAATTTAATTCATGAAAAAAAAAACTGGAATAGACTAGAACCACTGGATGGTATTAGTAGAAAAGAGTTCGGACACAGCTGAACTTCTTTCCTTTTCTATTATCTGTATTACATTGGTTTGAGTGAGAGCATTTTTCACTGTGTATATAGACTTTATTTCTTCAAATTGTGTAATGAAAGTGTCATTTGAATACTTCAATGAACAGGGTATCCCACATAACTTGGGCCACCCCCTTATCTGGTAAACTATTATATATACAGAAAAAAGTTCAGGATAAAAATTGTATAACTTCTTATGACATTTAATTTTTAGATACTGTCATTTATACAGGATGATCCATATGTCTGTGGCATATCACAAATACGTTTTTTCAAATGGAACACCCCATATTTTATCATATTTTTAGATAGTACTCCAGAAGACGAGTTCAATGATATATAACAACATGGGTCTGAGATCACTCGTTTCGGATTTATACACGATCTTCTTCAATAAATTGTCTAATTTCAAAGCCCTATAGAAACGTTGTGAATGAAGTTTTCGATTCGCAACTTTCGCGATAAATTAACAAAGTCTGTATATTATTTTGTTCTATGGTGAAAATTTAGGAATTTCGAATTTGCCAAAAGTGATGACGTATTTTGAAAACCAATAATTATCTCGAGATTTTCAAATGAAACACCCTATATTTTATTCCATATTTGCATAGAACTCAGAAAGACGAGTTCAATGATCTATAATAACATGGGTCTGAGATCACCCGTTTCGGACTTATACACGATCTTCTTTAATGAATAGTCAAACAAAAAAACTAACAGTAACTGAGAAAACGAGTGAACATAACAACAGAAACATTTAGATATAGTATTCAATCGAATATACAAAGTAGTCAAATCAAATTTTCTATATACCGTCCATTTTCAGCTATGCACGTAGTATATCTTATCGCGATATGTCTCAGTGTATTTGCTACTGCAGGTGATTCATTCAAATTCACGATTGCGACTCGTATATTTTCTCTTAATTGTTCTATGTTGTCACATCGATTTTCATTAACTTTGTTTTTCAAAGCACCCCATAAGAAAAAATCTAAAGAAAATGATCATAAAAATTTCGATAATATCCGTTGTTTTCAAAACTCTTTATTACGAATTGTTTCACAGAAATTACAAAATTTTTATCTGATATGAAGATAACAGTCAGAATTTTGCCATTGAAATTTGATTATTTTTTCAAGAAGATCGTGTATAAGTCCGAAACGGGTGATCTCAGACCCATATTATAATATATCATTGAACTCGTCATTCTGAGCTTCATCCAAAGATGGAATGAAATAGGGTGGTGTTCCATTCGAAAATTTGTAAAAAATTATCGTTTTTCAAAATACATCATCACTTTTGGCCAATGCGAAATTCATAAACTTTTACCATGGATCAAGAAAACATACAAAATTTGTTAATTCATAGCGGGAACTGCGAATCGAAAACTTCATTCACAACGTTTCTATAGGGCATTGAAATTGGGCAATTTATTGAAGAAGATCGTGTATAAGTCCGAAACGGGTGATATCACACATGTTATGATATATCATTGAACTCGTCTTCCTGAGCTCTATGCAAATTTGGAATGGAATATAGGGTGTTCCATTTGAAAATCTCGAGATATTTATTGGTTTTCAAAATACGTCATCACTTTTGGCAAATTGAAAATTCCTAAATTTTCACCATAGAACAGAATAATATACAGACTTTGTTAATTTATAGCGGAAACTGCGAATCGAAAACTTCATTCGCAACGTTTCTATAGGGCTTCGAAATTTGGCAATTTATTGAAGAAGATCGTGTATAAATCCGAAACGGGTGATCTCAGACCCATGTTATTATGTATCATTGAACTCGTCTTCTGAAGAACTATCTAAAAATATGATAAAATATAGGGTATTCTATTTGAAAAAACGTATCTGTGATAAGTCACAGACATATGGACCATCCTGTATAAATGAAAGTATCTAAAAAATAAATTTTATAAGAAGTAATACAACTTTCAACCTGAACTTTTTTCTGTATATATTATAGTTTACCAGATAAGGGGGTGGCCCATGTTATGTGGGATACCCTGTACATACATATTCATAGATATTTAGTAGGGCTGATAATCAAACAGTTCCATATATTTATGAATGAAACAAGTGCTAATGTTTTTATTTCAAGAACTGATTGAACATTGAATTGATTTGTGCAACATTCCATGGACTCGGACTCACTGTTCATGTTTGAAGGTGATGTTCAACTGATAATGGGACTACCTTACCTGAACCCGGTTTTTTTCTTTTGCGAGTGGCAATCACAGTGGGTCTATCAACAGGCGAGCTCACATGAACCTTCCTAAATGTCACAACTTGCCATGCCAAAAACAAACGAAAATTAATGAAAATAAAAACAAAAACTGCAAAAGCGAACCGAATTTGGTACGTAATAAAATTGGACGCAATTTGACGCAAGTAATAGACAATAATTGAAAAATATCTCTGAAACGAAGAGATACACCATTATGATAACAATGATATGATGATCACAAGTCTTCTAATGATGATTTCTGTAGAATATTCAAAGAATGTGCATTTTAACGTGAATGGGACATCTGAAAATGACAGTTTAGCAGCATCTCCTCTGAACCAATTGATATGTCTCGGCCCGGATCTAAAAAACAGCCTCATGCACCGGAATTGTTGTTTTTTTTATCGCTTGGAGCGCACGAAAGGGAATCCCTCATTGAGTAGATATACATAACGTACATCCAGTACATCTCAAAACGTTCGGGGCCAATTACATGCGTGTCTTAAATGGCTCATCATTGGAACAAAAAGCGCAATTGAACCAAAAATGCAAAGTAACATCTATTGATGGAGGCGAAACGATACAGTTCGAACTTGAACAAGAAGTTGAATATTCCGAAGAATTCACGTATCCGAGCCCTTATGTTCATTTACTCAGAGAAAAACAAATAAAATCGTTGATGTGACGAAAAGAAACAATCTTTGAAAGCGTAGATTTAGTAGACCACTGGACATAGGGTCTGATACCATGCTTCCAGGGTGAAACTCCTTTACCAAACTCGGACTCCACAGTTTCTTTTCACTTCTCACTTATCAAATATTACGAATCTCAACATATCACGTGTTCGAAGTACTTCGAAAAATGTAGGCTCCCTTGAAATTACACCTAATCAAAGCTTTGTGTTCACGCATGTTCTGTAGTATCAATGAAAATCAAGTCTCGAAAATGCAGTAATGAAAATAGTCCTCATTGGCTGAAGTTATTGATATACCTGTATCACAACAAAATTGGATATATTTATTATATTGGGTAGTACTATTGAAGATCTTAGACACCGAGTCTCTTTCAGAAATTATAAGGCTAGAACTCAAAGGGTATCATGAGTAGCTTGAAATACCGTTATGTCTATGACTCGTTCTGTGATATAAGGTTTGATGAACCTATACCTGGTAGCATCGCATGCAGATTCATTATCACTGGGTCCAAGACTACCAAGTACCAAATTCGGCGTAAAAAACCTTACCTCCTCTATCACTTTCCCTTATCCCGCTCGGAATTCTTTCTCGACTACTACTCAAACTGAGGAACTTTTTCAGTCTTTCCAACCTGGCGTAGACTTTCGATTTGTTTCTCTTATATTTTGAGAATGCCCTCATCCTGGATACCGAAGTTGTTTTGAAGGGAACTCTCGGTGACAGTCTGCTAATGCTGACGTTATTCATTTTGTTAATATGGACAAGAACACCTGGTTGCAAAGGCCATTTGAAGGGATCTGATATGTTATGAGAAACGTCATCAGAGCTGCGTTTTTCATACGATTATAGTAAAGTGAAAGCCAAGTTGGAAAGGCAAAACATGAAACAAAAAAAAAGTTGATTAGTTGAATTGAATATGGAATGAATCGAAGATTTGGGTGGCAAGTTGTCATTTCGAATCATTAAAATACTGGGTGTTATCGAAATGAATACATTTATTGAATACTGCAATATTGTTTGGTCGAATATAAACTCTCAAGCGGTTCGATTTTTTTGAAGTCTTCAAATTAATGGAAAACTGTCTTCTCGGGAATTGAAAACAAAATTACGAAAATATGAGAACGCCATCTCTTAAGGGCTATGGAAATCCTAGTAACATTGAGTCCACATGGAAATTTGACATTGTCATCAGGATTGATCTCACTGAACTGAACTGCAAAAATAATCAAATGGGACTCATTTTGGCCTTCACTATACGTGAGTCAACTTTAAATGTTTGCATAATCTATTTCAAAGTAGGTATCTGAATATTCTCTTCAAACCATTGTGGTGAAGACTAGCAGTTGTTTTGTAGTCCGTATAAAAGTTATTTTGGCATTCCTACATCTTATTTGATTTGTCAACGTTTTGACCTTTTTGAACCTACTTTAATGCACCCAACTTTTTTTTATGCCTAACGATTACTATAGTAATTCCATTTTTATATGCTCTCGATCATTTAGTTACAGAATTTCAAGATTTCTTGAAATTTGTTGAGGACCCATTCAAAACTCATCAACTTTGACCTATTCCAGATTAAATGAACATTCATGTTCAAGCTACAATCTAACTTCATTTACTGCTTTACCTTTTTTATGAACTGTGGCAACGTCGCTTGGTTCCTCAAAGTTTTAGCAGTTTTTTGTGCTTTTCATGAGCGACTAGCTCTCGATGAGTAGAATTCAAAAGAAAAAAAAAAACGAGATTGAATATCATAGGAATTTCTTTTCGTGCGCTACAAGCGATTGAACATATTTATGTTTTTCAATGGTGAGTTCCGATATTATACACCGAGTTATACACTGTGTCCGGAGAGTATGGAATAAATTCATTTTTAGTCAAACCATCTATATTTCTGAGGAATCTCCTGTAACAGGTAGATTTTTAATCTCAATTTGCCACATTCATACTGGGAAACAATCAACGTCGAATTTAACTTTTGTTTGGGCATTTTCTCGGAATGAATTAATATATTTAGAATGATTCGTGTAGGAGAATGGCGTCATCGGTATTTTTTAATAACAACCCCATTTCACATGGGCAGTGACTTTAATACAACTTTCCATGGATTACTATATTCGATTTTTCCGTATAAATGTGACAAACTGAATTTGAAGAACGATCTGGTTTGGGAGTATACTCAGAAATAGTTTGGCTGAAAATGAGCTCATTTAATACTTTACGAACACACTGTATATAATTCAAATTCTGATATTTTCATTTCGATAACACCCTGTGTATCCGTAACTTCTCGTTGTCGAATTTATGGTAGATTCTGTACTCACTTTTTTTATTCATTGTACTTTCCAAGTTTCATCGTTATTGTTTTGATTGTTTTGTTGAAACATGAGAGCACATTTGAATTCTATCACCATTTACAAAGTAACGAGTACAAAACTGTTTTCATTCGAATTTTCTGATTATATTCTTGAATGGACGAGTGGACCGATAATAAAATATTGGCATTCAATTACTTCACTGTGTCGTTAGGGACCTAAATTGATTTTTGCAACACTTCTTACGTTTTTTTATGTGAAGCAAGGTTGCCAAGACACCAATTATAATCAATTTTTCAAAACTATGCGAGAGTCCTGCCGTTGAATAAAACATGATTGGAGGACCCCATGATATTGAAGTTCATTCTAGACTCCTTCGAGCAACCAGCATGTCAAAATATTTCTTAAACTCCATAACAAAATATGCTGAATGCTGAGAACTGACAAGACAACGCCCACAATTCGTGCGCTGTGTTGCAATACGTTTACCGCTTCAAATGTCCTCTAGTGTGAATCAATATTATTACTATTCACACAGATTCGTTATAAGCATGTAGCCACAAATCATAAGATTGTGAGACAATTCATGAATTATTGATTAACTAATATTTATGACGATCCCATTCGTATTTCAACAGATGGCAACTGTGCTATGGTCGGGTGCGTATCGTTTCAGCCACATCTCTTCTTAGCCACATATCGTGTCAGCCACATTTCGTCTCAGCCACATCTCGTTTCATACACATTTTGTCTCAGCCACAGTGTCCAAATATACCTGAACACTGCGCTGTTTCCACATACAAACCGATTCTCCCAATTTAGCCAGAGATTCATCAAGTCAAGAAGCTTGATATTTTAACAAACTACTTGACTTGACTTGAAAATCAAGCTCGTGGCAAATTACGTACTTGACTTGACTTGAATTTGAGATATTCATTACTTGACTTGAAATCAAGCTACTTGATAATACTTGATCTTGATACGCACGAGTCGCACGGCGTATATTTCTGCAAGCTCGCTCACGCCAAAGTTTACCTCACGCTTAGACAAAATACGGGGGTTCCCCGAGATCCGAGCTGACTGAATCGATCGGGCAGTCAGTCTTACGATGCCATTTTCATTTCATCAGTTATATACAGGGTGACTCACGGTCGATGGTAGGTTAGACGTTCACGTTCATGATAGGAACGCAACGCAGGGTTTTTCTGAAAATTTCGCATCTCACATTTCATCACCGGTACTATCGATCTAATATATTTTCAAAATCACGACGTTGCCGAGTCTATAGAAAAGAAGGAACCACTTTGTTATTTCGAATTGAACACCCTGTATTTTATTGCATTTTCAGATTCTCCTTGAAGAGTTGATTTCATCGATACATCACACTCGGGGTATAGCGGAAAAGATTATGGAGATATAGAGTGCGAAAAATCGAGATTTTTCAACTTCAGGAATTTTTTGTGTATGCGAAATTTTCAGAAAAATCCCGCATCGCGTTCTCCATAAACGTCTAACCTATAACATCGACCGTGAGTCACGCTGTATAGATACACAATAAAACTGCTGAAAATCAAGTAGCTTGATAGAACTACTTGATTTTTCAAGTACTTGATAAATAATTACTTGACTTGACTTGACATTAAAAAACTTTCGCTTGACTTGAACTTGACTTGATTTCAAGTCAAGTCAAGTCAAGTAGCTTGAATATCAAGTCAAGCCGTGAATCTCTGAATTTAGCAGACATACACAATGCTGCCTCATCTCGTTCCAGCCACATGTGGTCTCTCAGCCACATTTCGTGTCCATTTAGTTTTAGCCACATTTCTTTTCAGCCATATTTCGTCTAAGCCACATCTAATTTCAGCCACATTTCATGCCCATTTCGTCATAGCCACATTTTCTTGCGATTTATCCATATTTAGTGGAAAAAAGGAAGAATATCATTAAAAATAATGGCATGTGTGTAGTCATTCGAAAGCAATCTGTTGACATTTGACATCTCGTATTTAGATTGATTATTGATTAAATGGCCGTCATCTGGTATGATTGTTCACTAAATATCAAATATTCGTCATGAAAATCATATTTCGTGTTGAATTTGAAGTACATCATGAGTATATAAAGTATATTGAAATAATATTCATGAAACTGAAAAGCTTCAAGACATATTATACGACTTCGCAATTGAAAAAATCTCTTCATGTTGAAAACGGGAGCAGAATCGGTCCCGAAACGTCCAAAGATAAGTGAAAATTTGATATTTTTTCTATATTTTTCAATACAAATTGTCACTGACAAGCTAGTGAATTTTTCTTTTAGGCTCTCTGATAGGAAAATTCTTTAAACGCAGTGACATTTTGGGGCAAATCATCTGATTTGTCCTTACTACACGTATATTGAAATAATATTCATATTTTTATTTTTTAGAAACGAGGAGAGAAAATCCCAAAAAATTTGAAATAATGTATATAAAGTGTCCAATGACAAAATATGAAGAGCAGATAGCTGTCGATGCCTCCAATACAATGGGAAAAAGAAGGCGAAATTTCGAGATTTTTCTTGAAATATTTCGATAAATAGTGGTTTGTTCACATTTTCATTATCAAATTCGTGTCTTGCAGACAAAAATACGTAAGTACCACAAATAATTTTCGAAAAAAAACCCATCGCATGATAAGTGCGATTTTACCTGGGACGAAATGTAGCTGAGACGAAATGTGTGGCTGAGACGAAATGAGGCTGAGACGAAATTACTCTGAAACGAGATGTGGCTGAGAGGAATATGCTTAATTTATTCGATTGTGTTGAACTGGAAATTGGGATAGTATGTTGCAACAGCGCATCATTCGAGTAAGTTTGGATTCTGTGGGCCAGACGAAATATGGCTGAGATGAGATGTGGCTGAAACGAGATGTGGCTAAGACGAAATGTGGCCGGAACGTGTTGTGGCTGAGAAGAGATGCTCTCCTATGGTCTGCCCTAGAGTCCCTGTATATACCTTAGACAAGAGTCCGGACACAAAACTGACAGCCGTTGGGGTTTTTATTATTTTGTTTCATTTGGTTTGCCCACCTGACAATGTGACGAAACACCATAGTCGTCCCGCCCGCTTTTTTTGATTATTTAGAATTTCTGTCACTGTCACTGAAATTTCATGACCGCCAATTTTCCGAATGATCCTTTAAAGCTGATGTCATATAAGAATGCAATGAAACGTCCAGAATGGAAAATTAATTTCAAGAAATCCGCAATATGTGAGGTAAATATTCAAATTTACTTGAAAAAACAGTACAAAAAAGATGCATTTTAGGCCCATTTTGATAGAGATTCTTTTCGTGCCATCAATTTATAAAATAGAGACGTTCAAAAAAAGAGTTCCGTCGTCATCGTATTGGGAATTACTGAATGATACGATCGCAGAGAAAGAAAATGAGAATGAGATGATGCGGAAAGAAATTGGAAGTTTGAATTCAAAACTAGAAGATTTAGAGAAATTGCAATGTGCTATGTC